GTAACACTGACTGTATGATTAGTTCCTGGTGTGTTAATATAGAACTGTGTTAAATGAGCTCTTATGTATTTCTCTATGTTTTGTGAAAAAGCACACTAGATATTCAACTAAACCAGACACTCATCTCCATATAACATTTTATTGCACAAACTTTTGCATGTATTTTCCACACATATATTGTTCATTTTCACTGAAATTATTTTAATACTGTAAATGTACAAAAAAAAATATTTGGCAACAATAAAAACAAACATTAATCTGAGTCTTTAATATTTTTTCTGAACAAGTCATCTTATGACATGGAATCAAATGCTGTTATCATCATTCAACACTTGTGTTCTGAAGTCCTTTCACACAGTCTGATCCACATTGAGATTCTTTATGACAAGAGGAAAGTTTGAGTGCTAGACTATTATAAGCTCCATAAGACAGTCAGACTTTCATATTCATGCCAAAAAATCCATAAATAATCAACAATTTAAAAAGCCTCTGCAGCAATGATTTCTGTTGGTCAATGTGTTGATGTCCTATATGCCACATGCTATACACTTCCTGAAGCTTGAATGAAGGTACCAAGAATGTTAGAAATGTCCGTCTCCGAAGATGAGGTCAAGTGCAGCATGGATGTCTCCTCCTGTGGCTTGGAGAGCACGTCTTGCCAGGGCCTCATCCGTAATTCCCATGTCTCGCAGCTGCTGAATCTGACTCTGTGGACAAAGTTCGGAGACAGATTAGTGATCCATCTCATTAAAATGCTGTGTAAGGTATGTGGTAAAGATTGTCTTAATAAGACGTATCCCGTTTCTTATCAGCATGGACAACTCAAGAATAAAGTGCTGAAGCACTGGTGAGTTGGAAAAAAATAACAATAATTCATAGTTATTTTGGAAGTAGTTGACTTTCCTGCAATTGTGTCGACTAGATATCACAAGTGACATGATATTGAACTGCAATATGTTATCCCTATTGTGACCTTGACCCCCCCCCCCTGGTGCTTTCCATCATATCATGTGTAAACTATAGAATCTCACATGTTAATCAACAAGCTATACCTAAATAATGAAGACTGATTGATTCATGAATGAATGAATGAATGCTTAATTAAATCATACTGTTTTTCCGTTAATATGTTTGTTTACTACCAGTAGAATACAGATTTTTTTGTAGGACTAAAGTCTACCAGAGAAACATGCACTATGTTTTTTAGGGGTGCAATATTGTATACCAGGGGTGAGATATTGAATCAGCATTGCTCATCATTTCTATTACTTTATCAGAAAATTTCAAATTAGGTCAATTCTCTGTTTGCGACACAAAAAAGAAATTTGGGGTCATTGGTGAGTATTTTGAGAAACCTAACAACATTGAGTTTACAGCCATATATTCTCCAGGAGTTTAAAAATCAAGCAAATGAGATGTGATAATATCAAAATATCTAGTCTGCACTTACTTAATTTAATAACCATTGTAAACTGCATTTAATCCTAAGACATGAACAACAGTAGATAAGGCTGGAGTTAACCTAAGTGTATGCAAATTACAAGCTGTTTCATCATCAAACTACCCACATGGTAATTATAATAATAATAATAATAATATGTTTATAACTATTTGTCATTGGTTCTTTTTTAATTACAGAGGTGTGACACTATCAGCAAAGGACTTGCAAAATAAATCACAAATCATTTTATTATTACTGATTTAATATTTATATTGTAGAACTGACAGCAGAGGAATATGCAAATTCCTATAGTCAGAATAAAACCTGTGTATCTGTGTTTTAAGATGAAGGCATCACAAGTGATACAAATCCCCTCACATTTACAATTTGTGCCATAACCTGAAATGCAAACTTGTTCAAGACATTGCCATACCACACACTTCGTAAAAGTTTTATGAAATTGCATTGAAGAATGAAGTCGATAGAGCGATGTCGAAGTTTTTCTAAAAATAGTAAAAGTGGTATTGACCTTTAATGCAGTAACCTGAAACGTGAGCTTGTTGAAGATATTGCCATACCAAACACTTGTATCAAGTTTCATGAAATTCTGTTGAGGAATGAAGTTGCTAGAGCTGTGACAAAGAGTGTAATATTCGTAAGTACGGGCGGAATCCTATATCCCCTCAAACTTTCGTTGCAAGGGGATAAATAGGCATCAACAGATTTGACTGTTGGATTAGTTTATAAATCTGAACCATTCTTAGAAAAAATGTAATATTTAAGTACCATATTCAACCAACTAAGTTACCCTACATGCACTGTAATATGAAAATATAGTTATTGTTGTAGAAATTCAAATTTTTCAATGTAGACAGAAACTTTAATTAAGTCTGTAAATTATTGTAAATGAATGGGGACGCTTGGACTGGAAAAACGACCAGATACATTAACAAGTGATGGGCCACATGGTTGAATAATGTAGGTTATTCCTGAAAATGCATTTTACCTGGCTGGCTGTTGCTTGTTGAATTGCCTGCTCAAAGAAATCCTGTGTGATGCCTGACCCCGTGTCCACTCTAGATCCTTGTGCTGCATTGTAGGCCGGCGGTGGGATAGCCTGGGAAAACAGGTACGCATGACGGCATGTTGGATACAAAAAGCTTACGAGCTGAACATATCAAATAGTAACAGAAAACATCATGATGAAAACCTGGGAAGATATTTTGTCATAAACATTTTAAGTTTAAGATAATCCATGTCAATTAATATTTACTTCTAATAAATCATACATCCATTTACTTACACTTAAAAGACTAAAACGTTTCCAAAAAGCAGGACTTAGAGTCCTAGACTCATATACCCTTGTTTTCTTTTCCTCATATATTGTATACTTATCACTATTTTTTGTTAACTTATCCTCATCTTTAAATGTATGTATAGGTGCAATTAAATTGATTTTCTATTACATGTCTTAGTGATACTCGGCCAATATACCTGATCTGAAGCTGATTGTTGTGGGCTTCCAGTAGCAGCTGCTAGAGCAGCAGATAGTTGTGAAGCAGTGATGGCTTGTCCCCCAATCATCTACAACACACACAAGTCAATATTATACAGCAGGAATATTTTGCAATTAATATTTCATGGTTTTGGTTAAAATTGAATTGAAGTTATAATTTTTGATAATCCATAATGGTTTGGGTTTTTTATGCTGGTGATTGTGTTAGGAATGTACATTAACATTATGTATACAGAAAATATTTAAACACATGCAGATAAACATTATATACAGTGCTGGTCAAACTATATATAATTTCAATCATGTAAACAAAAACTGCTCACTCATCTGACCCATTACTCAGAAAAAGTGCTACTGTCAATCAAATGTTCTGAGAAGTAGAAAGTGAAGATAAAATGTTGCTATTTATGCTCCTGCTGCAACCTTTGACTTACCCCTTTCACCACTGTAGACCATAATGGACTCCTCCAGATCAATGTATGGTAGAGTCTACTAAAGTTACCAAGGGGTGAAAGGGTTAACACATATTTTACAGACTGGCTCTCTACTTACAGATGATTCTGGTCGGCTGTTTGACATGTCTTCGTCATCCGACATCTGATCTAGGGAATAGGTTCCTGTACAATACAAATAATATCTGGTGAACAAGTTATCGTGTTAACAAGTGATAATGTAAACAAGTTATTGTGTGAACAACCTATCATGAAAAACAATAGCAAGCATTATAATAGTCAGCTTCATAGAAAGCTTTCAGAAATGACAGAACATTCAGGTGAATTACCAGAATTAACGGAAAAAACTCAAGTCAATGTCACTGTTACGATGATCAAACTGAATTGCTGCTATGACTCAAGAAGTTAACTAATTGGGTCGCTAACAAAAATGTATTTGGAATTATCAGCCTATCATCAAACTGACCTGATGCTGTGTGGTCCGTGTCTTCCCTGCTTCCTTCCTTACTGACCTCTGCTGCTATCAGCGTGGCTGCTTGACCAAAGGATGGGTGCTTCTCTACAATTCTGTTTATAGTGGAATCAAATTTACTGTATAAGATTTCATTAGACAAGTAAAGATTATGAATCATCATTATTTGTGTCCGTCTCATCTAGCCATAGCTACTCATTTTCATATTTACAGGCAATGGGCTAGTCAAACAGACTGTCTAGTGGTATAAAGTAAGAAGCTACTCACTACTGTATGTTACCAGGGTGGACTTGTACAATAAACTGTCTTGTACTACAAAGATACTCAGGTTTGTATGTTACCAGGGGGGACTAGTATAATAAACTGTCTTGTTCTACAAAGCTACTCACTCCTGTATGTTACTAGGGTGGACTTGTACAATAAACTGTCTTGTCCTACAAAGCTACTCAGGTTTGTATGTTACCAGGTTTGACTAGTATAATAAACTGTCTTGTACTACAAAGATACTCAGGTTTGTATGTTACCAGGATGGACTAGTATAATAAACTGTCTTATACTACAAAGCTACTCAGGTTTGTAGGTTACCAGGGTGGACTTGTACAATAAACTGGCTAGTGCTACAAAGCTACTCAGGTTTGTAGGTTACTGGGTGGGGACTAGTTTAATAGACTAACTTCTACTACAATGCTACTCACTTTTGTATGTTACCAGGGTGGGCTAGTATAGCTAAGAGTTCCTGGTCTTGTAACATTGCTGTAAAGAAAAATTGACATTATAATGCTTGTTCATATCTCAACCTGAATGTAAAATAACAACTTTCACATAATAGTATTATCCGTGGTTATAGGGCCTTTGCAACTAGCCAATATCTTTCTCAACTCCCTAGGGAGGATACAGCCAGTGCTGCCATTTCATGCAAGTTAAATCCAAGGCTATGTCTTTTATTGTTAATATATTGATTGTTACAGAAAAAATAAACTAATGATCTGGTTTCAAAGTCTAGAGTCAAAACTTAAAGTCATATTTCAATAAATGTAACATAATAGTTATCACATCGACAGTTGACCCTCAAACCTTTGATTAAGGTCATAGGAGTGTATTGCTAAACGGAAGTAGGAAGTACATCCCTAGTTGAAAATCCAATGTAGGGAGACAGTATCACAATTTCTGCATATTCTAATGTTTAATATTAAACTGATGAATATTGTATGTTTATTATTGACAGAACAGTGTGTTCTTTCAATATTAAATTATTTCAAAGCAATCCAGGCATTAATTCAGGGTTTTTTTTATCAATGAGTCACATGTGTCCATTTTTCTGTACTTCAGGAAACCAGCTACCTATTTCACTACTGTGAAGTTTTCCAAGAACGATAACTCATTGCATGCAGTTACTATGTGTATATGGGTTATTATAAAATGTCAATTTTACACAATTTCAGCATTTATGAAATTAATATATGTTAATGCAATACTAATCTATGTTAGTATCATTTTTATTGACATTATTTTGCAAAAAAAATGTGTGTTTCAAGTCTTTTTTCAAAATTCAATCCTTTTTACATTAATTTCTATTTAAAATCCTTAAAATTCTGACAACCTATATTTTTTTTGTGGCAGAAAATTTTCTTTACTTCAAACTAATATAACTACAAAATTTGAATAAATTCTACTGAGAAATGGCGATACAATCCTATTACCTTAAGTTCAGAATTTAGTTAGACATGTTTTTCAATTGTTTTTAACCTTTTTTAATGTCATAAGCTAAGGTTGTCAAAATAGCATAGCAAACTGCTACCCAGAACATTTTACCTAAAGCAACAGGATCCTTGTCTAGGCCAGGTGTGGAAGCAATAATGTTCTCCATGGCATCAGGATCATTCAATATTCTTTCAACCTTTAAACAAATATATGTACATAATATGTATACCTCAAATAAAACTAAAATATGTTAGTTATGATTTTCCAGGTATATTTGTAAGATAGCTTCCCGGACACTCAACATCACAACTTGTTGAAGATTTTTTAGATATACGTGGTATTGGAATCTATCATGATTTAGAGATGGAGAAATCTTAACCTGAAAATTTAATTATCTTTAGTTAATATTGTAACAGGAGATGGAAAAATGCATCGCCAGACTTGGGTTAGAACCTGGGCCCTCTGAACTCTAGACAGGCGCTCTACCAATTGAGGTAGGTATACCTGGTTGCCGACGATCGACCCAGTTCAGTTCCACTACAATATCAACAGCACAGCTTTGCTATAATGCAGTAACTGGAGTGGTCTTCTAACTAAAGATGACTTTTCTACATACTGTTGTTCTGTAAGCTGGATTAAGCAAAGCCGATCTCAACGTTGCCACCAAATTCTTCACAGCAACTGGAGTCATGTGTTCTGAAAAACATCAACAGACCTATGAATAGATATTCTTTAATCTCTGTTTTCTATGTATGCTTCTTAAGTTTCTATATTTGTGTGTTCCTGTTATTTTCTGTATTGCCGAGCTCAAACTAGGCTGATAGCAAAAGCTACTAAAAGTTATTGTGTCAGCAGCTATGGTTAAGTTGAGCCACTGCTTGTGAATCATGCTGATATCACACGTTGGCATACATGGATGAATGATTCTCAAAGAAAATATGTTCACTATGTAGTGGAATTTAGTTTTTCTCACAAATAAGCACTCCATTTTGTTAATGATGAAAAAGCAATTGGTTGTTCAGTTATTTTATTTCAAAGACAGCAAATAGGAATATTGTCAATTTATCTCATATATACATGTTGTACATACATATATCTTGGCAAAAATCATTTAATCTCAGCCAATTAAAACATTTTATGATTAAGCCATACTGCCATATTCTTAATTAAACCTGATAGGTGTTTCATTTAATGTATTATATTATATTTATTACCTGCTTCTCTTACGGAAAATGGTAGGTGCCTCTTTAAGGCAAACACTGTTGAACCATTTTTAAGTCCATATTGTTCCATCTGTTTGCCATCATCAAGCCTCTGTCCACAATACACTAACTCTTGAGAGAAAGAAAAGTAAGATATTAGACTGCAAATTGGTTATGTAGCACAACTGGTAAGTGTTTATGTTTGTGTTTATTTCTTTCTAAAACAATGTCAAGCCACATGTAGTTTTTAAGATACGTTATGTAATTCGGGGGACGTATGAAAGAAGGGCATAATATTCTTGATACATTGTTTTATATTCTCCGAAACTGTGCATTTTTAGCTCTGGTTATAGAACGGTAACGGGTTGTTTCGCCCTAAATCCTGTTCGCCCTAGGTTGTTTTGCAGGCGCGTAGCTACCATGTAAGCCAATAAGCCCGGGCTTGCACATGATTTTGACAAGTATAGGTTTTCATGATGTTTTTATCCTTGCTGATACTATAAAGTGGAGTTTAAGTTTTGAATATATAGTATACATATTTAATTCCTCAGATATGATACATTGTTAATAGTTAGTGGGGCAATTGCAATCTCGCTTCTCGAAATGCCCAACAAATAACAGGAGCAAGTATAAGGAACCAGTCACAAAGCACAAACAGAAGACGAAACTGTGTGGGAGACTGAGGGGGTAACATCACTTCCCAATTAACTCGGATCAGATTATGAGTAAGACAAACCCAATTGCATGTTCACTAATGCATAAGTATCAAATGCATTTATCAAGATTAGATAAAAACCAGACAATGTATGTATGGAGGGTGTACAAAGCAATACCGACGGTTAATCTTCAGAATTACACTGGATCCACGTAAATAGGTATATATATATACAAAAAATAGGACTTTTTTCTTGCGGATTAAAACGAGAAAACGGACATCAGGACGTGGGAAATGGCTCCTGGCCCGGGACGTTCTAAAAAACAAAATTTTCATAGGGGAGATCCCCCAGACCCCCCTTACGGGAGGGGGAAGACCACCTCCCATACCCTCCCCCTGCCCCGGGCTACGCGCTTCGGGGGGGGGGGGGGGGGGGGGGGCTGCCTTTGGCAACCCCATGTCGGGCTTACACATGGTAAAGGGGCTAGCTACGCGCCTGTTTTGCCCTAAATATTTTTCTTTAATTTATATCTTAATATAGTAATTTAAAATATTTAAATATATTAACTATACTTATTGATGACTTTCTACGATATATTTCATGTAAAATATGAGAGAGCGGAGTCAGCTTTTCACAGCTGCCGTTTGTCACAATCACTTTTTTTTTATGAAATTGATTTTAATGATATGGAAGACTAAGAAGACTTAATTTATGACTTAAAACTACTAAAATTGGAAGAAAAATCCAAACAATGTTTCGCCCTAATATTTTTGTTTTCGAGCGAAACAACCTATAGGGCGAACAGGATTTAGGGCGAAACAACCTGTAACCTTTGTAGAACGGTCAAAGTGCGTTCGTTAATCGTGGTATATTTCTGCGCACACGAACCGTTTCAACCGGGATACGCGAATGTAGATTTTTTTTAAAGGGCCTATTCGTTTAAGCGGAACAACCGGTTTGTCCGTTCATAAATCATTAAATGTAACAATTTCGGGTATAAATCCTGGCGGACATGCAAATGTTTATGCATGACTTGCAAGGCTTTGCCAAGGCTCGCCTGAAAGCAGCATCAGATTACTAGGTCCAACCTTATTTAATAAACGAACAACTGTGGTCCGACCGGTTTGACAGTTTAAACGAATACCAATTTGGGTACATTCGCGTTACCGGTTGAAACGGTTGAACCTGTAAAGAAAACGACAGGTACAGATTTGGACCGAGGCTGACCTCAGGAAAATTTGGTACGTGTAGATTGAGGGGTCCAGACGTACCTGGCCGAAACTAAACTGCTGAATATTGCTAGTTTGCGTTATTTCTTTCTAAAACAATGTCAAGCCACATGTATTTTTTAAGATACGTTATGTAATTTAGTGGACGCGTGAGAGAAGGGCATAATATTCTTGATACATTGTTTATTATTCTCCGAAACTGTGGATTTTTAGCTCTGCTTATAGAACGGTCCAAGTGTGTTCGTTTATCGTGGAAAATTTCTGCGCCACACGTACCGTTTCAACCGGTAACGCGAATGTAGCCCTAATGTAAACAATGGTCTATTTGGTGAAAGAATCTTTGTTGTGATGTTACCGAAGTCCTGAGAGGGAAGGTTGATACTCCTTGAGATCTCCTCTTTCAATATCGAGACTTTCCCTTTCAGGTTAACAAGATTAAGCTTCATCCGCTCCGACTTTCCGTGGATAGTTCTATTGCATACGGAGACGGATGCCATAGCTGCAGGTTTTGATCGTTCTGTCTCTATACTGCTTCCGGTCCCCATCTCCTGTGGAATTGTGGGAAATGTCATCTTGTATTCTATTTATGGTTTTCTTTATTTAATTACCAGTGATCCATAAACTATTCATATTTATAAAAAGATAAATATGAAAGATACTCTATGTTTACAGATGACATATAAAAGGATTGAAAGGTTATAATTTCATGTTCTATTCTACTTTCACTTTCATTTATTAAGAACTTCCGACCGTCATATTACAACTTCCGGCCCGGTTAAGTTACCGCGAAAATCAACACAGAAGTTTACAGCTGGTGTGAAAACACATGAATTTCAGCTTTAGAACTGTAAATCACTGTGAGTATTTATCATTTCCTTCTCAAATTTTAGTTTTCGAGTTCATTTTTTGCCTTGGTTGATATTTTTTAATTCTGTTATCAATTGAACAGATAAGGCAAGATCGAGCACACAGGCGACATACACAGGGACCTGTTATACAGGGACATCCGTTCAATTATATAAAAAAAAAAACATACTCAATACATTTGTAAGCATATTATAGGTTATATTCGTATTACTGTTATAATCAATTTTGACAGAATTTCAGACTGCTCCTTTGCACAGAACAGCACCAATATAAATAGCCTGAGTTTCCTAGACATTTTGACTGGTGATAATATAAGAGCAGATTTCGATAAATAAATAATCCATTTATCGATATATGTGAGGTATGTGTTGTGTCATAGTCTTAAGTTAGATTCTCTGAAAGTGTCGGTGCTACACCAACCAAACCTGGACCATAGATGTATCTTAGGCTTTACATTTCAACCCATGCATCAAATGCTGAATGCGTTCTACCTTTCATGGTCCATTGACTTTGTCAGCATTTCGAACATTAAGTTTTTGCGTTAAAGGTAGTTTCTTTGAAAGTATAAGTGCTACACTAACCAAACTTGGACTATAGCTGCATCTTAGAAAGTACATATCAACTCAGGCATCAAAGGCTGGATGCAGCATACCTTTCATGGTCCTTTGACTTTGTCAGCATCTCCATCAAGATTGTAAACAAATGGCGACTGTTCGTTATTTGCGTGGCCGTTTTGAGAAAATCCCGTCAAAATAACTGTCAAGGGTTTGTAATTATTAAGGGGAAGGAATTTGTGAAAATAGAGATTGTCCTCTTTTTAACAACATGAAGCTTGGTAGACATGCAGAACGTTCTGGGTGGAAAGATGGGTGTCGGGTCGTTTCGTCCTAAATCCCTTTTGCCCTGGGTCATTCCGCACTAAGTTGTTTCGCCTTAAAAATGTTTTTAGGGTGAAGAGTTTTGTCTTGTTTAGTTGTGTATGGTTAATTTAATATAATTTGAAGTTTTTCTATGTCTTCCTTACCTTTTTTTGCAACAAGACTTGTTAGATTTTTATGTGGTTGACCAAATCGACAAAACACACGCGGGCTAAAATATCACTATTTTTTTAAATTGACATAGAAAGAGATTGTGAGATGTATTCATATATTTGTATTGTTAGATGATCTATCAAGACAATCATGGTACTTTGAGCACATTACTTTCAATTACTTGATGTCAAGACAACTTACTGTGACACTTCAACTATCGTAAATGGACAAATATGGTCAAACCTAAAGGGGGGTGGGATTGTAGTGAGGGTCGTTACTATACATTTTTTTCAAAATTCAGACTGTCAAATTTTGATTTGTTACGTTTTTTGCATTGTAAAGAGATTTTGCAAGAAAAAAAAAGTTTTTTCATCTATATCTGATGTAATTTGTTGTACAATTAATTTTTTCCACCATGTACCATTAAAAATGGAGTACATAAATTTGAATTTCATGGCAATATTTTTTTTATTTTTTTTTGTATTTCTTGAAAAAGTTAGTTTTTTCATGTTTTTAATCTACAATGTTTGAACAATTTGACGGTATATAAAAGTAAATGGTTTGCAAAAAGTGAATAAAATCATAACTGTCTGCATAGATATAGAAGATTTTTGTCATTTTATTGGACTTTGAACACAATGAACAGAAAGCGGCCCCAGTGGAGTGTACTTATAAAATGCATCAAAACTCGAAAAATATGCGGTAAAAGTTCATAAATTTAGGAAATACTTCACTGTGGGTGTGGAAAATAAAAATGTATTGTTTTTTCAGTTCCAAAAAAATGTGTATTATGCATGGAATACCTTAAGTTAGTTTCTCTGATATGTGCATTGATGGTAAAAGCGGGGCATAGTCTAGACATACATGTAGCAATCCGAATGGATTGTTATAAGTCTTGAATTAATGAAGTTAATAGTCACAAGAAATAGAAAGGACACATATTATAATTTGGATGTAGGAAAACTGTGAACACATATTCAATGGGAGGTAAATTGTAAGTTTTGATAGCTTTGATTTAATAAGCGATTCACTAAAATACTGAGTAGAGTTGGTATCTTTTTCTGTTCTTATAGCAGCTTGAAAAAAGATATCTTTGTGATTAATATGCGAAAGACATCAATGTACACAAAATATATTGTGATGTAAAATGATGAATGTTAAAATATGCAGATTGTTGTGGCCATGCCCTTTGCTATTTTTAGCTCACCTGGTCCGAAGGACTGTTGAGCTTATGCCATGGTGTGGCGTCCATCGTCCTTCCGTCAACTTTTCCTTTAAAACCCTTCTAGTTCTGGACGACCCAGTTGTTTTTTTTACTAAATTTGGTCTGGAGCACCCTTAGTCCAAGGGAATTCAATTTTCTATAAATGGTGGGTGTGACCCTCCTGGGGGCAGAGGGACGGGGCCCGATAGGGGAAATAGAGGTAAAACCTTTAGAATCCTTCTTCTGACCGTAGGGATAAAAGGATTTTATCCAAATTTAGTCTAGAGCATCCTTGGGCCAAGGGGACTAAATTTTGTATAAACCGTGGATGTGGCCCCCCTGGGGGCAAAGGGGTGGGCAAAATAGGGGAAATAGAGGTAAACTTATAAAATCCTTCTTCCATCATATGGATTAAGGGATTTTATACAAATTTGGTGTGAAGCATCTTTGAGCAAAGGGGACTCAATTTTGTATAAACGGAGGGTTTGGACCCCCTGGGGGCAGAGGGGCTGGGCCTAATAGAGGTAAAAGCATTGAAATCCTTTTTCTACCACACGGATGAAGGGATTTTATCCCAATTTGTTCTGGAGCATCCTTCATGCAGGGGGACTCAATTTTGTATAAACTGTAGGTGTCCCCCCCCCACACACCCACACCCTGGGGTTAGAGTGGTGGGGCCCAATAGGGGAAATACAGGTAAAATCTTGAAATGCCTTCTTCTACCATAGGGATAAAGGCATTTCCTCCTAATATAGTCTGGGGCACATAGGGGACTCAATTTTGTTAATTTGTGGGTGTGGTCCCCCTGGGGGGCAGAGAGGTTGGTCTGAATAGCGGAAATAGAGGTAAAACCTTTAAAAAATTTCTTTCCCTTTGGCCAAGGGGATTCAATTTGGTATATACAGTGAGTTTGGACCCCCTGGGGGCAGATGGGTGGGGTCGAATAGAAAATAGAGGTAAAACCTTTGAAATTCCTATCCTACCATAGGGATTTTATCCTTATTTGGTCTTGAGCATCCTTGGGCCAAGATGACTCAATTTTGTAAAAACGATAGGAATGGCCCCTTTGGGTGCAGAGAGAGAGAGGGGGGGATCTCAAAAGAGGTTTAAATCTTTAAAATCTGTTTCATTTTTGTACTATTGGAGAGATTTTATCCAAATTTGGTCTGGAGGGCAAAGGGGACTTTATTTTGTATAACAATTGCATGTGGCCCCTCTGCACTATGGCCCGCCTGGATGCAGAGGGGCGTGGCTCAAAAGGGGAATTTGATGTTACAATCATTAGAATCCTTTTCCTTCTGTACTATCGAAGGGATTTTATCCACATTTGACCTGGAACATCCTTTGGCAAAAGTGACTAAATTTTGTATAAACTGAGGGTGTGGCCCCTCTGGGTGCAGAGTTGCGGGGCTCAACAGGGGAATTTGAGATTGAAGTCTTCAAAATCCTTCTCCCTCTGTACCATTTGAGGGGTTTCATCCAAATTTGGCCTGGAGCATCCTTGGGCAAAGGTACTAGATTTGGTATAAACGCAGGGTTGTGGCCCCTCTGTGCAGAGTTGCGGGTCCCATTAAGAGAATTTGAGGTTTAAATCTTTAAAATCCATCTTCTTCTGAACCATTAGAGGGATTTTATGTAATAAGAATATTTCCCATGCATGGTTGCTTTATTATCCAGGTAAGCGATACAGGCCCTCTGGGCCTCTTGTTAGATGTATGTAACCGATTAAATGGTACAATCATAGTTCGTTGGTATGTAAACCCTCATTTGTACTATTTTGTAGAAACTATATTGTTGACCGATCCATAGAAAACTCAGCATCCAATCTGCATTGTATGAATCAAATGATGTGGAATAAAAAAAGGATGTTAAACAGCTCTCCATGCTGTTTATTTAATAAAAAATATACATGCTGATCAATTGAGTTTCTTGTTTTGGAAAGTTTGAAAACCTTGACTTTGTTAGAACAAGGTTACTTTTGTTTTTGCAATAGAATTGTGCACGTGTCACAGTGAGTCAAAATAATGATCGATGATGCATTGGTGTCACTTGAATCTCTTGCAAATCGGACAAGGACAATACTGACACCAGCTGACCCAGATCCTCATTGACGGGGGAAACATGATGTAAAATATATTTGTTAGATAAAATCCTCTATATTGTAGCAATATGGCTCAATTATTCTTGTTTGAATGTGAGAATGATATGGTGTGATTTGTAGTCAAACTTCAATGTGATGCTCTGTCCTTCTGTTCTATCTTCACCGATAAACAGGTAGTTAGCAGGGGTAGGTAATAACCTTTCTTTTTTGCTGAGTATATATGGAATTCAATGGGATATCACTAAATATCCTCAGTGCATCAATTTATTTGTGATAACAAGTGATTTGACTTTGGCTATAAGGGTGTGCATAAGTGCATGTTATGATGATTTGATTTAAAATTATGTCCTCCTTTTTAAATTGAATTTTGAAACATGTCTTTTTACCTCCTAATAGAAATACATATACGATTAAATAATGATGATAAAATGGTCATAACATGTGATATGCTGTTTGAAAGATTTTCGAGGAAAGATGGTACACGAAAGTGATCAGTATCCAGTTTGTCCCTTTGTCCAGTATCTCTTTGATTGTAGTGTCCATTCTCTTTCAATGTTCATTATCCCCTTCATGTTGAGTGTCAACTGTCCAATCTATTCTTATGCCCTGTACCTCCTTCAGTGCTTTGTGTCCAATTTGTTCCTACATGTTTGTCCAGTAACCCCTACAGTGAAGAGTGTCCAGTCTGTACCGGTTAATTGTCTGTCCTGTAGTGTATCCCCTACAGTGTAGAGTGTCCAGTCTGTACCTATGTTCAGTATCCCCTATAGTGAAGAGTGTCCAGTTTGTACCTATGTCAAGTATTCCCTCCTGTGTAGAGTGTCCAGTCTGTACCTATATCCAGTATCCCATACAGTGTAGATTGTCCAGTCTGTACCTTTGTCAAGTATCCCCTACAGTGTAGAGTGTCCAGCCTGTACCTATGTCCAGTATCCCCTACAGTGTAGAGTCTCCAGTCTGTACCTATGTCCTGTAGAGTGTCCAGTCTGTACCTATGTTCAGTATCCCCTATAGTGAAGAGTGTCCAGTCCGTACCTATGTCCTGTAGTGTATCCCCTACAGTGTAGAGTGTCCAGTCTGTACCTATGTCCAGTATCCCCTACAGTGTAGAGTGTCCAGTCCTTACCTATGTTCAGTATCCCCTATAGTGAAGAGTGTCCAGTTTGTACCTATGTCCAGTATCCCCTATAATGAAGAGTGTCCAGTTTGTACCTACATTGTATGCCAAGTATTCCCTCCTGTGTAGAGTGTACAGCCTGTGTTTATGTCCAGTATCCCCTACAGTGTAGAGTGTCCAGTCTATACCTATATCCAGTATCCCCTACAGTGTAGAGTGTCCAGTCCGTACCTATGTCAAGTATATATATCCCCTACATTGTGGAGTGTCCAGTCCGTACCTATGTCCAGTATCCCCCACAGTGTAGAGTGTCCAGTCCGTACCTATGTCAAGTATCCCCTACAGTGAAGAGTGTCCAGTTGTTGCCTATATCCAGTATCCCCTGCAGTGAAGAGTGTCCAGTCTGTACCTATGTCAAGTATCCCCTACAGTGTAGATTGTCCAGTCTGTACCTTTGTCAAGTATCCCCTACAGTGTAGAGTGTCCATTTTATACCTATGTCCAGTATCTGCTACAGTGTAGAGTGTCCAGTCTGTACCTATGTCCTGTAGTGTAACCCCTACTGTGTAGAGTATCCAGTTGGTGCCTATGTTCAGTATCCCCTACAGTGTAGAGTGTCCAGCCTGTACCTATGTTCAGTATCCCCTATAGTGTGGAGTGTCCAGTCTGTACCTATATCCAGTATCCGCTACAGTGTAGAGTGTCCAGTCTGTACCTATGTCCTGTAGTGTAACCCCTACAGTGTAGTGTCCAGTTGGTGCCTATGTTCAGTATCCCCTACAGTGTAGAGTGTCCAGTCTGTACCTATGTCCTGTAGTGTAACCCCTACAGTGTAGTGTCCAGTTGGTGCCTATTTTCAGTATCCCCTACAGTGTAGAGTGTCCAGCCTGTACCTATGTTCAGTATCCCCTATAGTAAAGAGTGTCCAGTTTGTACCTATGTCAAGTATTCCCTCCTGTGTAGAGTGTTCAGCCTGTGTTTAAGTCCAGTATCCCCTACAGTGTAGAGTGTCCAGTCTGTACCTATATCCAGTATCCCCTACAGTGTAGTGTCCAGTCTGTACCTATGTCAAGTGTCCCCTACAGTGTAGAGTGTCCAGTCAGTGCCAATGTCTAGTATCCCCTCCAGTGTAGAATGTCCAGTCTGTACCTATGTCCAGTATCCCCTACAGTGTGGAGTGTCCAGTCGGTATCTATGTCCAGTATCCCCTACAGTGTAGAGTGTCCAGTCGGTGCCTATGTCCAGTATCCCCTCCAGTGTAGAATGTCCAGTCTGTACCTATGTCCAGTATCCCCTACAGTGTAGAGTGTCCAGTCGGTGCCTATGTTCAGTATCCCCTGCAGTGTAGAGTGTCCACTCCGTACCTATGTCCAGTATCCCCTACAGTGTGGAGTGTCCAGTCTGTACCTATGTCCAGTATACCCTCCAGTGATGAGTGTCCAGTCCATACCTATGTCCAGTATACCCTCCAGTGATGAGTGTCCAGTCTGTGCCTATGTCCAGTATGTATCCCTTACAGTGTAGAGTGTCCAGTCTGTACCGGTTAATTGTCTGTCCTGTCCACTTTCGGTCTGCTCCAGTTATTGTTTTATTTAATGACGTTCAGTATCCCCTACAGTGTTGGATGTCCAGCATGTGTTTATTGATCTAACCTGGTGAGGTCATCTCCTGTTGTAAAGTACAGACAGTGGTCAGTCAGTATATCCTGTAGTCTCTGGTCAGTGTGGCCAGTAAAAGCAGGTCAGGTTCACATTGATTTTCTGTTGCAGGAAATGTGTATTTAATTACTTCAGTCATAAGTGTAAATAGGTACACCTGTCTATTGTTACCAGATCAGACTGACCTCTGCCAAATACCACTCTGACATTGTCAACCTAACTTTATCAGGTAAGATATTTTATTCCAATTATAATACAGGTTAATGATATGCATATGCTTTGCTGTGTCAATAATGTAAATTTCTTTGTAATCTTTATATAAATACTGTAGGTAAGTAGCTGTCACTACCACATACTTCTAAAGGTTGATAATTAATACATACACTTCTAGGGTGTTACCAGGGATGCTTTACCACAGAATAGTAGCCAAGTAGGCTCTCTGAAATAGACTGACCTTGTCATTTTGAGCTGACTTGACCTGAAACTTCATATATATCTGTGTGTATATATTTACAGGGTAAGACACTTACAACACCCACAGTCAGTACTAATGACTAAGAAATGGCTGCAGGCCACATCTCCTATATATTGCAAGTAGAAATGTATGGCAAATTCATACAAAATTTAGCTATCAACATGAAGTATTTTAATTGATCAGCGCATATTTGACTATTTTTGCAAAGCCAAGTCAGGGATCACCACAATTTTAAAAGGATGAAGGGAGGGATTTTCTTAATGCATCTTTTGCATGGGATGTGTTTTTGTACATTGGTTCGGGGTTGCAATGGAAAACATAATAAAAGTAAAGGTTTGTTTATTATTTCAGCTATAAAGATTATATTTCAGATATTTTAACATATTAACTTCAGTAACTCGCACATATGTTCAACTTATATCATAAACAGATTTGTGCAAATCATAAGCACAAATCCTAGCATACATTGGTACATGTAAATGTAGGTATATAATTTGTAGTTGAAAATGCTTAAACCGGACACCACTTATCTCGATTACCTGATGCGGCCCTATTGGGTCAAATACAGTATGGTAATGGTAATTGATCTGTTACATAGTGATTCTGTACATCCTTGAATAAGATAAAGAGACTGGGTACATTCTTGAATAAAATAAAGAGATGTTGATGCATAAGAATTTGTGTGTATAGATCATGACCTTATGTTAAAACTCACTACTTTTGACCTCACCACTCTGTCCTAGTGTAGTATCATCCAAACATTAACCCTTTCACCACCGTAGACCATAATGGACTCATCCAGGACAATGTATAGTAAAGTTTACTTAAGTTACATAGGGGTCACAGGGTTAAATCTCCCTTCTGTTGACCACCACCACACTGGTCTAGTATCATCCTTACATTAGAACTCCCTACTGTTGACCACCACAACCACTCTGGCCTAGTATCATCTTTAAATTAGAACTCTCTACTGTTGACCACCAACACTCTGATCACCTAGTTTCAGCCTTACATTAGATATCCCTACTGTTGACCACCTCCACTTTGTCCTAGTTTCACACTTACATTAGAACTCCCTCCTGTTGACCACCACCACTCTGGTCTAGTATCAGCCTTACATAAGAACTCCCTACTGTTGACCGCCTCCACTTTGTCCTAGTTTCAGCCTCACATTAGAACTCCCTACTGTAATCCACCACTTTGTCCATGTATCAGCCTTATATTAGAACTCCCTACTGTGGACCACCACCACTCTGGTCTACTATCAGCCTTACATTAGCATCCTTACATTAAAACTCGCTACTGTTGACCACCACCATCCTGGACCCTTTCCTTAGAACTCCCTACTGTGGACCACCACCACTCTGGTCTAGTATCAGCCTTACATTAGAACTCCCTCCTGTTGACCACCACCACTATGGTCTAGTATCAGCCTTACATAAGAACTCCCTACTGTTGACCGCCTCCACTTTGTCCTAGTTTCAGCCTTACATTAGATATCCCTACTGTTGACCACCACTCTGGCCTAGTAGCAGCCTAACATTAGAGCTCCCTGCTGTTGACCACCACCATTCTGTCCGAGTATCATCCTTACATTATTACATTAGAACTCCCTCCTGTTGACCACCACCACCACTCTGGCCTAGTTTCATCCTTACATTAGAACTCCCGACTGTTGACCACCACCATCCTGGACCCTTTCCTTAGAACTCCCTACTGTTGACCACTACCACTTTGTCCTAGTATCATTCTTACATTAGAACACCCTACTCTTGACCACCACCGCTCTGGCCTAGTTTCATCCTTCCATTAGAACCCCCTACTGTTGACCACCACTCTGTCCTAGTGTAGTATCATCCAAGCATTAACCCGTTCACCTCCGTAGACCATAATGGACTCATCCAGGACAATGTATAGTAAAGTTTACTTAAGTTACATAAGGGTCACAGGGTTAAATCTCCCTACTGTTGACCACGACCATCACTCTGGCCTAGTATCAGCCTTAAATTAGAACTCCCTACTGTTGCCCACCACCACTTTGTCCTAATTTCAGCCCTACATTAGAACTCCCTATTGTTGACCACCACCACTTTGTCCTAGTTTCAGCCCTACATTAGAACTCCCTACTGTTGACCACTTCCACTTTGTCCTAGTATCATTCTTACATTAGAACACCCTACTGTTGATCATTACCACTCTGACTTAGTATCATCCTTACATTAGAACTCTTTACTGTTGACCACCATCAATCTGTCCTAGTATCATCCTTACATTAGAACTCCCTACTGTTGACTACCACCACCCTGACCTCGTATCATCCTTACATTAGAACTCCCTTCTGTTGACCACCACTCTGTCCTAGTATCATCCTAACATTAGAACTCCCTACTGTTGACCACCACTCTGGCCTAGTTTCAGCCTTACATTAGAACTCCCTACTATTGACCACCACCACTCTGACCTAGTATCATCCTTACATTATAACTCCCTACTGTTGACCACCACCACTTTGTCCTAGTTTCACCCTTACATTTGAACTCCCTACTGTTGACCACCACCACTCTGACCTAGTATCATCCTTACATTATAACTCCCTACTGTTGACCACCACCACTTTGTCCTAGTTTCAGCCCTACATTAGAACTCCCTACTGTAAACCACCACTTTGTCCATGTATCAACCTTACATTAGAACACCCTACTGTTGACCATCACCACTTTGTCCTAGTTTCAGCCTCACATTAGAACTCCCTACTGTAGACCACCACCACTTTGTCCATGTATCAGCCTTACATTAGAACACCCTACTGTTGACCATCACCACTTTGTCCTAGTATCAGCCTTACATTAGAACTCCCTACTGTTGACCACCACCACTCTGTCCTAGTTTCAGCCCTACACTAGAACTCCCTACTGTTGACCACCACTCTGGTCTAGTATCATCCTTACATTAGAACTCCCTACTGTTGACCATCACAACTCTGTCCTAGTATCAGCCTTATATTAGAACTCCCTACTGTAGACCATCACCACTTTGTCCATGTATCAGCCTTACATTAGAACTCCCTGCTGTTGACCACCACTCTGGTCTAGTATCAGCCTTACATTAGAACTTCCTATTGTTGACCATCACAACTTTGTCCATGTATCAGCCTTACATTAGAACTTCCTACTGTAGGCCATCACCACTTTGTCCATGTATCAGCCTTACATTGGAACTCCCTACTGTTGACCACCACCACTTTGTCCAGGGATCAGCCCTACATTAGAACTCCCTACTGTTGACCACCACCACTCTGGTCTAGTATCAGCCTTACATTAGAACTCCCTACTGTTGACCCCCACCACTCTGGTCTAGTATCAGCCTTACATTAGAACTCCCTACTGTTGACCACCACCACTTTGTCCATGTATCAGCCCTACATTAGAACTCCCTACTGTTGACCACCACCACTTTGTCCATGTATCAGCCCTACATTAGAACTCCCTACTGTTGACCACCACCACTTTGGCCATGTATCAGCCCTACATTAGAACTCCCTACTGTTGACCACCACTTTGTCCATGTATCAGCCTTACATTAGAACACCCTACTGTTGACCATCACCACTTTGTCCTAGTATCAGCCTTACATTAGAACTCCCTACTGTTGACCATCCCAACTTTGTCCATGTATCAGCCTTACATTAGAACTCCCTACTGTTGACCACCACCACTTTGTCCATGTATCAGCCCTACATTAGAACTCCCTACTGTTGACCACCACCACTCTGGCCTAGTATCATCCTTAAATTAGAACTCCCTACTGTTGACCACCACCATTCTGACCTAGTATCATCCTTACATTAGAACTCCCTACTGTTGACCACCTCCACTTTGTCCTAGTTTCAGCCTTACATTAGAACTCCCTACTGTTGACCACCACCATCCTGGACCCTTTCCTAGTATCTTGTATACATTTTTAGGTAAACAGGAAGTTTGCTAATCTGCGACTGGGCATGGTTGTGAAGTAGTTGATAGGAACACAGATAACACATACATTAGGTACATGGAGTACAGCTGACCAGGTCAACCTGACCTATGGTCTAATATACATGTGAGCATAATTGCCTTGATATGATTTCTATAGAGGAAATCATGTTGCTGAAATGTAGGCTAGGCCTAGTAGCTGATGTAAATGTCTGTTAATTTAGATGAAATAAAGTGAACCAAGTGTTGGACATCTTATTTGTATATAACCTTACTTGACAAACAACAAACGACACATTAAATTGATGTTTATTGAGTTAATGTTCTAATATCTTTTGTATTTCCCTGCAAGATATGTACCAATCATTAACAACTTATCTAACACACCTTATACCAAAGTGAGTGTACATGTACTATTTTCAGACACAGTGTTACCAAATGCAGGTACATACGTGGCCGTAAATGTTTAGACAGAATCAATGTCATGAACTGAAATCGATGCTGAGTGTACCATACCTCTTTCACGGTTAGGTTCCCATTGGTTCTTAGTTGTGCATATCCATTATTATAGAAGAAGAAGGTAGCAAAACACAGCCGTATGGAATTTTGCTCAAATGTTTCCACAAGATGACTGTTGGCATGACTCCATCCAATAAAACATCACACTTACATAAAATTAATGAGGATCCTAATAAAAAAAAAAAATATAACAACTTTAATTCAAATTTTTTTTGATAGCTGTTTGCTTTTATTTGATGGTTATAGCGAACATGGGGGACATCAATAGTGTTTTGTTTAAATATGTGATGAAGCAGGTTGACTGTAAGCAATAAAAAATGACATTGGTTTATTGGAGTATAAATGTCTATCAGATATGTTAGCCATTGTGTGAAATGTCACTTATGCTGGGTACATAAAGTAAACTATGTTGTGATCACTGATTGTGTGCCATAACATTTATAATGATAAATAATAATATACAACATTTATATAGCACCCTTTAACCACTTTACATGTACCGGTTATGTTTTGCTTCATTACAAGAGGTAGACCTTGCTGGGTGCCGCGATTGGCTTTTTGCTTGTATTAGGAAAGCTCATTTCATCCTGTGCCATGTAGAGTATCCGTCATCTGTATTGTTTAATTTAAAAAAGGTGTAGAAGTGACCCCAGTATAAATAATACGCATCAATAGTAGTTTCTGGTAAAAATGTGATTGATACAAAATATCTACTACACTATATGTATACATACTATACATAGATATTAAAGAAACACTCTTAATTCATGAAAGCAAAATTGAGACAGGCTATCAGTTGTTTAGCCTTTAGCTCAGTGGTAGAGCAACTGACTAGGAACCTAGGGCTTGCTTGCAGGTTCCATCCCCTGTGGCCAGCATGGAAGCACACTATATAATTCTCGTTCCTGTTACATGTCTATGCTGGAGTTAATGGTGTATATAAAAACCACAGGCACACAATAAATCACTCAAGGAAAAAAGCATATTACACTGGTCCCTAAACCAGAGAAATCCTCAGGTAAGGCAGCTAAATATATATATGTCAAGGTGCAATCTTTACTAAATTCATTACTGTGCTTTCCCCCTATAAATGACATTCCAATTTGAAGCATTTTATCTTGTTTTGACCATTGCTATCACTTAACATAATCATTTTATACCTCACAATTTATTTTTTATTTTGACTTATAGTGGTATAAGACAGTCAATGTACCAGCAAAGCATCAACCGAATGGGTCTATTTCACCTTGACAATAAGTGACATTGCCATTGTCTTATATTTTTTCCAAATATTCACATTCATTCTTTGAACAGAATGATGATGGATATTCTCTTCAATTCATAAGAGATTTATCAAACCCATACTGAAGTTTTCTGAGTATTAAATGTTTTGTATATTTATGGAATGCAAAACTGATACACCCTTACTTCATCTGGTTTGTCTGTTCTACTGGAAACATTAAGGTCATCCGTTGTGTAATTTATTTACTGGTTACTGACCATGGGGATTTGCCAGTATAGTGGTCATCTGCTGGTCAGTCTGACTTGGATATGGCCTTTTGTTGTATTCTGAAGCAGGATTATCAAGTTATGTAATTCTGGTGTTGGCTTTACAGTACTACAGCTAAAGCTTGTCATTGTGTACCTGAGGTAGTACAAGTGGCCATAGGATTCTGTACACACACATAGCTGATATATGATTTACCTGGAATGTCTCGAAACTCAATCTAACAGTTTGATAGTTATGCAGTAGGGCAGAATTGGTGGCAGAATTCAGAGGTGTGTTTGTGTCAGACCAGGATTACGTTGCCATGGTGATCTGTAATCAATTATCATAAGCTTCAGTGTATTTCTGTAACCATTAGTTTACCATTGTTTATAACAAAATCCCTGATTGAACGTAAAATAGGTGTGGGTAAACATTTTGATTTTCTGTTGGATGCGTCGATCATTTATCATGTTTCCCAATGGATTTCAAAAAAATAACAGCATTATTCATCGGTAAGTATAATGGGTAAATACATATTCAGGTAAGGATGTACCTAATATCACATATTACAGGTAACAGTAGATATTACAGTCATGTAACCGCACATTTTACAAGTAACAGTAGATATGACAGTCAAATACAGTTTACAGATAGCAATACAGTTTATAGGTAGCAATACATTTACAGGTAGCAATACATTTTACAGGTAGCAGTACATTTTACAGGTAGCAATACATTTTACAGGTAGCAGTACATTTACAGGTAGCAATACATTTACAGATAGCAATACATTTTACATGTAGTAATCCAATTTACAGGTAGCAATACATTTTACATGTAGTAATCCAGTTTACATGTACATGTACATGTACTTAATATTTGTGTCCTATCCCAGTCTGTCCATAACACTTCAAGTGACCACCCTAGCAATCATATTTCCTGAGAGTTTGGTGAAATTTTGCATTATCAGCATGATTGCTCAAAGGTTAAGGTTACTAAATTTGAAAATATCATTTTACCCTCTCATTGTGTTAGATCAATCTAGAAGTGTTTTTTTCTTTTCAGATTTTGATGAAACCTAACAGGTATATATTTTGGCCATACCTTGGAATACTGAAAGTAGAATTTCACAGTACATACTATGAATTCAACAAGGATGGGGTGTTGTGAGCCATGCTCACCATTATCATGTTAAGGTGGATTGTGTCACCATTTCTCAGTAGAATTTCTTCAAATTTTGTAGTTATATTGCTTTGAAGTAAAGAAAAAATTCTGCCACAAAAAAAATATTGGTTGTCAGAATTTTCAGGATTTTAAATGGAAATTTATGTAAAAAGGAATGAATTTTGAAAAAAAATGAAAGACACAATTTTTGCAAAATATTGTCAATAAAAATGATACTGCCATAGATTAGTATTGCATTAATGTATATCAATTTAATAAATGCTGAAATTGTGTAAAATAAATTATCTATAATGATTAAAAATTGACACTTTATAATACAACCATAAACACATAGTAATTGCATGGAAGAGTTATCTTTCTTGAAAAACTTCACAGTAGTGAAATAGGTAGCCAGTTTCCTGAAGTACAGAAAAATGGACACATGTGACTCATTGATAAAAAAACAACTGAATTAACGTCTGCATGGATTGCCTTGGAATAATTTAATATTGAAAGAACATACTGTTCTGTCAATAATGAACATACAATATTCATCAGTTTAATATTAAACATTAGAATATTCAACTAGGGATGTACTTCCTATTTCCGTTTATCAATACACTCCTATGACCTTAAGGTAAAGGGTAGTCTACAGGTTAAACTACCACACAAACATCACTAGTGTGAAATATTTGTTATGTCCTTTTCAATTTATTATTAAAGCACAATGTTAAAATAACTGTCAAATGTATTGGCCACAAAGCATGTGAAAAACTTCACAGAAGAAATTGCTCTTGATTGTGTAACATTCTGTAAAGAAGGGAGGATACTCCAAGTAAAAAATACTCTGTAAATCTTCTTTGCCATTACAACAGGTGCAGTGGTACTCTTTACCTTAAAAAGGGCTTACAGAGAAAGTTTTTTTTTTAAAGGAAGTGATTGAGAAGACTGAAATTAAAAGAAAAAAAAATGACTTGAGGATGAATGTTTATCAATTACATTGTATAATTTCAGATTACTGAATAGAAATATGGAGACCATCGACTTGAATATGGAAGATATTTTTGAGGATCATGATGATGATTTGCCATCTGTTGGTCCCTTGCCAGACCTACCAGAGGAAGATGGGAGTGGGGCTCATCATGACAATGAGGATGGCGAGGATGCAGGTATTATAAACTGGGTTTTTAATGCTAAGGAACGTTGAGGGCTTAGTAAACTTAATTAAAATTGCTATAAACATAGTTATAAAGAAAGAGAAATACTCATTCTGTATTACCAATGGAAGTAACGTTGTAAACAGAATTCATTTCATGGTATGGCCTGTTTCCCCACATTAGTTAGTTATATTGGTATAACCTGTATGTCATGAGTCAGTTATATCTTGGTAGTTATGGTGAGAATAATCATTGTTTCTTGAATGTAACAAAATGCATATATAAATACTTTCCATAGTTCAATAGAATGTAACAAAATGTATTTATAGATACTTTTCATTGTTCAATAGATTATGAAAAAATGTATTTATAAATACTTTTCATAGTTCAATATAATGTAACAAAATGTATTTATAGATACTTTTCATAGTTCAATAGAATATAACCAAATGTATTTATAAACACTTTTCATAGTTCAATAGAATGTAACAAAATGTATTTATAGACACTTTTCATAGTTCAATATAATGTAACAAAATGTATTTATAGATTCTTTTCATAGTTCAATATATTATAACAGAATGTATTTATATATACTTTTCATAGTTCAATAGAATGTAACAAAATGTATTTATAGACACTTTTCATAGTTCAATATAATGTAACAAAATGTTTGTATAGATACTTTTCATAGTTCAATAGAATGTAACAAAATGTATTGATAGAAACTTTTTATTGTTCAATAGAATATGACAAAATGTATTTATAGATACTTTTCATATTTCAATAGAATGTAACAAAATGTATTTATAGATACTTTTCATAGTTCAATAGAATATAACCAAATGTATTTATAAATACTTTTCATAGTTCAATAGAATGTAACCAAATGTATTTATAGATACTTTTCATAGTTCAATAGAATGTAACAAAATGTATTTATAGATACTTTTCATAGTTCAATAGAATATAACAAAACGTATTTATAAATACTTTTCATAGTTCAATACAGTTTTGGTTGAATGACTACGATTCTTTGAAGCTGGTGTTGTTTGCTTACTTAAACACCCAATTCTTTGCAAGTGGTCATGTTCTGCTGATTGTCATGTTAAATTTGTAACATTGGAGATCAAAAGTCAATCCCTTTTGTTATTCTTGACATTTCAACTCATTAAGTTATTTACAAAGATCAGGTGGTAAAAAGTAGAAATAAACACATGGAGATGAAATAATGTTAATATGAATATAAGAAATAATAGGTTTTAAGTTGTTAGTACATTATAGTCTGGTAAAAGCAAATGAGCCTCGAGAACACCTTAACTACTTTGAGTTTACTTAATATGCACAAAGTTAACTTCCATGCAATTTGCTTGAAGCTCACTTTGATTCCTCACGGAGACTGTTCAAGACTGTTTGAGACTCAAGAACACCTTAACTACTTTGAGTTTACTTAATATGCGCAAAGTTAACTTCCATGCAATTTGCTTGAAGCTCACTTTGATTACTCATGGAGACTGTTTAAGTTGTTGTGGATTTGAAAATTACATATTTTATCTACACATTTCCTTTTTCATTTGTAGAAAATAGTGAAATTCTTTCAAAGCTGAAAGATTTATCAAAAGGAGCAGCTAAAAAGGTGGTTCGGAAACCAATGCCAAAACTGGACGCTACAAGGTTGGTATCTCTATAGTCTTAATTCAGTACCTATATGGTGTTTTTGTAATGAACAGAATTGTATGTGAAGTTCTACACCGGGGGGTCGCGGTGGCCAAGTGGTTAAGGCGTCTTGACAGTCTGTTACCACTAGCCCTCCACCACTGGGTTGCGGGTTCGATGCTTACGTGGGGCATACGCCAGGCACTAGCCAAAGTCAGTGGTTTTTCTTTTGGAACTCCGGCTTTCCTCTACCACCAAATCCTGGCGCGTCCTTAAATGACCATAGCTGTTAATAGGACGCAAAACAAAAACAAACCAAACCAAGTTCTACACCGAAAAACATCCCTCCTGACCCCAACCTTGTCTAAATCACAACCCCTGAAGTCTGTATATACCGGTACATACAATTAATATTCGTCAAATGCACTTGCTTCTCCTACCAGTACCACACACAAACAGCATTAACTCCATCTACCTCCCTTCAACACTTACCAACACCCTATCCTGAAAACACTTTCCTTGCCAATTAATGTAAAGGAAAAACTACTCTGTAGTTTTGTAAAAGTAAGGAAGTTGTTGGATAGATTGAAAAAGTAAGGAAGTTGTTGGATAGATCTATAAAAATCTTTGATGTGGCCAATTTTCACATTCTTTACAAAAATTGAGCTGATCCTCACATTCTGATATGTATGTGTACAGGGCTGGCTAGACAGTAAGGGTAGCCAGATAGTCTGAGACTAGTGAAATCTCTAGCTGGACAGTTGGTTCTAAAAACCACTAGGCTGATTGACTAGTCTAAATTTGATATTACTGAACTTGTTGAGAAGCATTGGGTTCATTGATTTTGCCCATGTACTAGTAAAACTAATATCCCAAGTGACTAGTGGTATTCATAATTAAATTGTAGCCCTGTGTACTGACCAATCATACTGACCATAGGCTATCCAGACCACTTGAATACAGTGACTAACAAACATAAACACCCTGTATACAAAGTGGCTATTGAATAGTAGAAAGACACACTTCATTATGACAAACTAAGCTGAGGTTTAAATGTCGTACAATGTGGCCAAGGAATAGTAGAAGTACACACTTCAGTATGACAAACTTATCTGAGGTTTATATGTCCTACAATGTGGCCAAGGAATAGTAGAAGTACACACTCCAGTATGACAAACTTATCTGAGGTTTAAATGTCTTACAATGTGGCCAAGGAATAGTAGAAGTGCACACTTCAGTATGACAAACTGAGCTGAGGTTTAAATGTCGTACATTGTGGCCAAGGAATAGTAGAAGTACACACTCCAGTATGACAAACTTATCTGAGGTTTAAATGTTGTACAATGTGGCCAAGGAATAGTAGAAGTACACACTTCAGTATGACAAACTTATCTGAGGTTTAAATGTCGTACAATGTGGCCAAGGAATAGTAGAAGTACACACTTCAGTATGACAAACTTATCTGAGGTTTAAATGTCGTACAATGTGGCCAAGGAATAGTAGAAGTACACACTTCAGTATGACAAACTTATCTGAGGTTTAAATGTCGTACAATGTGGCCAAGGAATAGTAGAAGTACACACTTCAGTATGACAAACTTATCTGAGGTTTAAATGTCGTACAATGTGGCCAAGGAATAGTAGAAGTACACACTTCAGTATGACAAACTTATCTGAGGTTTAAATGTCGTACAATGTGGCCAAGGAATAGTAGAAGTACACACTTCAGTATGACAAACTTATCTGAGGTTTAAATGTCGTACAATGTGGCCAAGGAATAGTAGAAGTACACACTTCAGTATGACAAACTTATCTGAGGTTTAAATGTCGTACAATGTGGCCAAGGAATAGTAGAAGTACACACTTCAGTATGACAAACTTATCTGAGGTTTAAATGTCGTACAATGTGGCCAAGGAATAGTAGAAGTACACACTTCAGTATGACAAACTTATCTGAGGTTTAAATGTCGTACAATGTGGCCAAGGAATAGTAGAAGTACACACTTCAGTATGACAAACTTATCTGAGGTTTAAATGTCGTACAATGTGGCCAAGGAATAGTAGAAGTACACACTTCAGTATGACAAACTTATCTGAGGTTTAAATGTCGTACAATGTGGCCAAGGAATAGTAGAAGTACACACTTCAGTATGACAAACTTATCTGAGGTTTAAATGTCGTACAATGTGGCCAAGGAATAGTAGAAGTACACACTTCAGTATGACAAACTTATCTGAGGTTTAAATGTCGTACAATGTGGCCAAGGAATAGTAGAAGTACACACTTCAGTATGACAAACTTATCTGAGGTTTAAATGTCGTACAATGTGGCCAAGGAATAGTAGAAGTACACACTTCAGTATGACAAACTTATCTGAGGTTTAAATGTCGTACAATGTGGCCAAGGAATAGTAGAAGTACACACTTCAGTATGACAAACTTATCTGAGGTTTAAATGTCGTACAATGTGGCCAAGGAATAGTAGAAGTACACACTTCAGTATGACAAACTTATCTGAGGTTTAAATGTCGTACAATGTGGCCAAGGAATAGTAGAAGTACACACTTCAGTATGACAAACTTATCTGAGGTTTAAATGTCGTACAATGTGGCCAAGGAATAGTAGAAGTACACACTTCAGTATGACAAACTTATCTGAGGTTTAAATGTCGTACAATGTGGCCAAGGAATAGTAGAAGTACACACTTCAGTATGACAAACTTATCTGAGGTTTAAATGTCGTACAATGTGGCCAAGGAATAGTAGAAGTACACACTTCAGTATGACAAACTTATCTGAGGTTTAAATGTCGTACAATGTGGCCAAGGAATAGTAGAAGTACACACTTCAGTATGACAAACTTATCTGAGGTTTAAATGTCGTACAATGTGGCCAAGGAATAGTAGAAGTACACACTTCAGTATGACAAACTTATCTGAGGTTTAAATGTCGTACAATGTGGCCAAGGAATAGTAGAAGTACACACTTCAGTATGACAAACTTATCTGAGGTTTAAATGTCGTACAATGTGGCCAAGGAATAGTAGAAGTACACACTTCAGTATGACAAACTTATCTGAGGTTTAAATGTCGTACAATGTTGCAATATTTTATGCTGAGGGCTTGAATTACCTTATCCATATTTCACAACAGTGATGGATTCTATTTCTTGCATTTTGACAAAAACCTGTTAAAACAGCTGCTCTGCTAGTAATGTTGTAAACTGTCTGCACATTTCTCGTTTGCATATGAAGTCTGGATGGCAATTGTAAATGCCGTCAATGACCCTGACATACCCCAAAACGTTATAAATGATGTCACGGACAATAGCGTGACCCCGAAAAGGTCACTATAATTCCCCCGCCAGTCTGCGAGTGTAAGCGATTCCAGACCTGTGGGTCGGATAGAATTTTCCAGCACCGCCGGAAATGCAGATATCTTGGTCTAGTATGCAAGAATGACTGGTCCATCACTGTATTGAGGTCATGTTGCCTGTACCATACCTACCTGCATGATTCACCAATTCTTTTAGCACATAATGTTTCAGAGAGTTTTTTACCATTATAAGGCTTACAATATGTAAATACAATGTGTTCATATTGTTTTATCCTTGCAGATTGTGTGGTGAAAGGGGAATCCCCATTCTTCCCAAAACATTTGAGGGAATACAGTTCAAGGGCAAAGGTCATGAGGTTAGTATTAGAAGGGTAAACTATTAGGCTAATGTTCTAAGGTCAAAGGTCATGTGGCTGATAGTTTAAGAAGACATTGATATCAATTCTCCGGTTTTTAGCAGGAGACACCAAATATTTTGGTCAAAATAAACAATATTACTGAGCTAAAAAAAACAATCACCCTTTGGAGCTGTAAACTCCAGATATGAATTATATAAACTTTGAAATCCCTAGTAAAATTACGAGTTCCTGGAACTTTGATAGGCTATAAAACTGAAAACTAAGGGGTTGCTTGACCATGGCAGTCACACGCAGCCAGACTTGACAAAATCACTCAACAGCTTTAGGATTTATAGTCAGCTGCTAGGTGTTCAGAGCATGACTATTGTTGCTTTTAATCTCTACAGGCAAAAGACTTAGGAGTGATCATGAGGTACCTCGAGCATTGGGCACACAGGCTGTTTCCCAAAATGCCTTTTGATGAAGTTTTGGAAAGGATAGAAAGACTGGGTACCAATAAAGAAGTACAGGTAAGTGGAGCAAGGTTCTGTCACAAATAGTCCAGTGATATTGTCTTACAACATTGATGTAACAAAAATCGACATTTTTTTTTTATATCCCTCCATGAACTTAAAAATGATCATGCAAACTTGGCCTAAAGGTCTAGCAAGCTTCTTAAATATGAGGTATACAATACTGCCACCATTTCTGCTCTTTCTAATTATGGTTTTACTTTATTTGTATATTATTTAGAAATCATACTTTGTTGGCTGTTGCATTTACATTGTCATATTTGAACAAAAAATTAGGCATGAGATAGGAGACAATTAGTCAATCATTTTCAGGTTTTTGGGATGTGGAAATTGTACACCGTTGGGTAATACATCCATATCCTACATACATATAGGTGATAGAACTATATCTCTTTGCCGTTACAACATAAAGTATCAACCTGTGAAGTATATCTCTGTCTTTACCAGTCATGTATTAAGAAGATGAGACTAGACATGCCGATATTGTCCAGTGACTTTGTTACGGAGGCTGATGATGAGGACGAGGATGGACAGACCAACGGAACAAACCAGAATGGTGGGACACAGGTAAGAATTCTTCATGTATAAACCTTTCAGTCGTCAGTGTAGGATTCCGCCTGTACGTATTTACACATACATATGTTACACACTTTGTCATCGCTCTAGCGACTTCATTCCTCAATGAATTTCATGAAACTTGATACGTGTGTTAAGTATGACAATACCTTGATCAAGTTCACATTTCGGTTTTCTATGTTGAAGGTCAAGGTCACTGTTACTATTTTTAGAAAAGACTTTGTTATGGCTCTACCGATTTCATTCCTTAATGGAATTTCATGAAACTTCACACAGTGTTTGGTATGGCAATGCCTTGAATAAATTTGCGTTCAGGTCTCTACTTTAAAGATGAAGGTCACTGTTAATATTTTTAGGAAAAAAAATCATCACCCTAGCAACTTTATTACTGAAAAGAATTCATGAATCTTCATGCAAGTGTTTGGTACGGCACTGCCTTGGACAAGTTCGCGTTTCCGGTTTCTATGTTCAAGGTCAAGGTCACTGTTAATATTTTTAGAAAAAAATTGTCAACGCTCTACCGACTTAATTGTTCAACAGAATTTCATGAAACGTGATACAAGTGTTTGGTATGACGATACCCTGAAGAAGTTCACATTATGGGTTATTGCATTAAAGGTCAAGGCCACTTTTACTATTCTTTTGAAAAACTTTATTATAGCTCTACCGACTTGATTCCTAAACGGAATTTCATGAAACTTGATACCAGTGTTTAGTTTGACAATATCTTGAACAATTTCGCGTTTCAGGTTACTGCGCTAAAGGTCAAGGTCACTTTTACTAATTTTACAAAAAACTTTGTTATTGCTCTATCAACTTCATTCTTCAAGGGAGTTTCATGAAATTTCATACAAGTGCTTAGTATGGCAATGACTTGGAACAAGTTCTCCTTTCTGGTTTCTACATTAAAGGTCAAGGTCACTGTTACTATTTTTAGAGAGAGAAAAAATGTCATCGCTCTAGGGACTTCATTTCCTCTTACCTATGTCACAAGTTCTCCTTTCTGGTTTCTACATTAAAGGTCAAGGTCACTGTTACTATTTTTAGAGAGAAAAAATGTCATCGCTTTAGGCACTTCATTTCCTCTTACATATGTCACAATGTGTGAATGCGAGGGGATATGTATCACTTGTAATGCCTTGTTTAAATAATTAAATTATCTAGGTCACCTTGCTGATCATAGGTGTATGGACTCCGAGGTAGACACACAAAAAAGGATTTTTAATCACATTTCACTTGGTAGAATAGATATAATCAACATGTGTTTGTTTATTTTGGTGGAAAATATGATTCCGGATTCCTTAAATAACAATCCACAAGCAATATTTAGTAGTAATGTTTTCATTTTTAAGCCTGATCGAGGTGCTGAGGAGGTTTGGGATGAAATGATTCGCGATGAAGAGGAAGCAATGAAGCAGAGACCAACACCTGTCAAGACATCTCATCTTCTGACTGCTCTGTCCCAGACGGACACGCCCTCATCCTACAGCACAGACAGCAGCCACACACCCTCCACTCCCTCCACTTCCTCCACTTCCTCCACTCCCTCCACCCCACACACAACAGCTAACAATGGCAGCAGTAGTCTGGCAATGGTATGTACTTACACGGGACTATAGGATACAACTGTTTATTGTAAAAACTTTAATAAGATAATACAGTTGACTTAACAATCTTCTTGGCCAAGTTGCTAAAGCATAATGTGCTTGACAGCAGTTAAATCGTTCAGAAGTGTTACGTTTTTATAAAGGTGAATTTCAAAAACATTGAAATCAATGAAATAGTGATTAGGGGAAAGGACTGAATTTGATGGAAGAAATCAAGCCAATCAATGTAAATGTTTGTTTTTCTCATCCATTTGGCATTGAGTTATCACAAAATTAATGCTCTATAGCTTTCAAGAAAAAAATGCCTTCAATGTTTTCAAATTCATTCATGCTTCCATTGCAAGATCCTTTTACAAATAGTATGGGCTGTATTTGATTGCAGGGGCTCACTCCTGAACAGGCAGAGAGGATAGAGAGAAACAAGAGACTAGCCATGGAAAAACGCAACAAAGGAAAAGCTGTATTTAAAGTTCCAGGTAACAAGTCATCTCTATTTGTATCTATAGCGAACAATTTATAATGGAATATGTATATGTAGAAAAACACAACAGAAATTTCATAATTTTAAACGTTTCGATGTACTGTATTCTCTGTCCACACCAACATTATTCTGTCGTGTTTTTATCATGATGAGTGAAATGTAAACAATATTCTGACATGTTTTCTCCAGCCACGCCTACTTCTGTCAATGGATCCCCCATAACAAAGACCACACCTTCTGGGAAAACATCTAACTTTGACCAACAACGGGGAAACGGGACACCAGTAATTCTCACAGACAGCGATGTACTGAGCAATATCATCTCACAGCAAGACGAAGGAAAATCACACCAAAGCAGTGATGTCACACCGCTCATGAATGGCTCAGTTAAAGGCAGTGATGTCACACCTCTCACTAATGGCTCAGTTATAGGCAGTGATGTCACACCACTCACGAATGGCTCAGTTATAGGCAGTGAGTCTGAGATGAGTGAAGTATTCCCGGTTATTGACAATTCTAAAGTAAAAAAGGGTCAAAGCAGCAGTACATATGATTCAAGTCAGGAAATGAGTGAGGTTATCCCCCTTATCAGCAATATAAGGGGAGATAACTATTCTGGTGACTGCAGTCCATCTAAAATAAGGAAGACAGACAGCATATGAACAGTTTTATCTATCGAAGTATTGTATCAGTGAACTGGATTTAATATATTTATTGTTTTACATGTTTTATTACAAATGTGACCTTGAATATAAGCAGCTTGTCACACTACAAAATTGGAAACCTGACCCCTTTTAGAAGAGGTTCTGAGAAATCTCCAATTTGTAACTGTTATGTACTATTTCTGATGTCCGTGCTTTGTCATTGTCTCTCCCGGTGATGCTTATAAAAAAAAGTCATCATGACATACCGGTGTGTCTAATGAGACACAAAACATGTCCTTCCTTCATTAAGGCCCCATCTATCATGACTAGTGTGTTATTTTGATACCTAATCTCGACACTTTCACCGTTCCTTTGCAGACTGCAAGGGTTTATCATTATTGAAGTTTAATCGTTTATATACAGGGTGTACATAGGTGGATATTCTTTGTATATAATTCATGTTACATTGTCAACCATTATCACTGATAGAAAAGCCTGATTTCCAGAGACCTTAATTAAACATGCGTTTGTGGTAATAAAGCCATTTGTTTATTGCCTTTACTGTGCTATGCTGTATCACTGATTATACTTAACATCCTATGAACAGCATACACGTTTTATAACAAACTATAGAGGACTGAAGATATCAGTTAACCATAAACATATAATTCATCTTAGAGTTTAATGCTTACACGACCATATACCTTACCAGCGACACAAATATGACAGAATTACAATAAATGTGTCTTAGTATGTGTTTTTGTATTGTCAATAGGTATTGTGTCTATATTGACCTGATAACAAGTCAGTGTCCCCAACTGTTATTGTTGCTATTCTTACATGTACTAGATTATAATAACTTAGTGAAATTGCTTTATAACACTAGGAAGATATTGCAGATGATTTGTGTGTGGAGAGTTTCCTTCAAGATGTCTATGTATAAATAGCGAGCAAAAATTTATGCAAAAGATTTGATGTCTGATTGTTGATATTGTATTTGTATGAAAGTTCTATCCCTAGTCAATTAAAAATATTCATGAAATGGAGATGAGTTCTAACTATGGAGGTGGTCAGTTTCTGCGTGTAGTAACTATATTGAAGTGTTCCTATCTATACAAGTTCTCACTATAGGAGGTAGTCAGTTATACAGATTGTCATTATATGAAGGTGTTCCTTACTGCTTGTAAACATGTCGTCAGTATAATTGTGGGGAGGTGATGTATAAAGGTGTATTTTTAGGTTTTATTTTGTAACTAAGTACAAAGGATGAAATGACGAATCTTGACACTTTTTCTTCATCCCAATATCAAATTTATATACTGATACTGTTCATTCTATAAAAGTTCAAATATTTGAAATATTTATAGTGCTCAGCTATTATGTCTCCCCTTTGAATGAAGGGAGACATATTGTATTAGTATTGGTTCTTCTTGTGGTTCTTTTTCTTCTTCTTCTTTTTCTGGTTCTTCTAATCGCAACTTGTCCGGACCATTACTTTTAAACCGTTAAAAGATATCTTGATGAATCTTTAGGTATGCATGCATCACCCACAGAAGGTGTGCAGTGCACTGGAATTCGGTCACTGTGACCTTCACCACAAGGTCAAAGGTCAAATAAGTGCAACATTTTCAGTAAATTCTTGTCTGGCCCATAAATTTTAAACTGTTAAAAAATATCTTGATTAAATTTAAAGTATACCTGCAACAACTACAGAAGGTGTGCAGTGCACTGGAACTAGGTCTTGTGCCCCACTATATATACAGAGTTATGTCCCTTTGTTTATTTTTAATACCAAAGTTTGTCCACAGCATAACTTCCATGTCATTTCACCTACGTTGACCAAAATTGCTATAGTTTTAAAGTATCTTGGGAAGTAGGAGTGTCGCATTCTAAATTCGGGTCTTGTGCCCCACTATATGAGATATGGCCCTTTATTATTTTTTTTATACTGAAGTTTGTCTATTGGCTGATAAGGGGAGACATATGTTTTTGTTCACAAAAACAAAATTCTAGTTCTTATTATATTTATGAATTTATTTAATAATTGTACTTTTTTATTATAAAAATAAATCATGACCCCCAACTAAAAGCTTTGGACAAATTGACCAAACTGATGTACAAGGGTATGGTACCAAGGCCACAAAAAATAACGGATGATGTGTGAAACATTTGCATACTGTAAAGTGCTTTGGTTTCGTAGTGTCAGTTTTTAATGTTTTCTTACCTGGAACTTATTTTGGTGTCTTAAATTCACTATACACTCATTCGAAAAAGGAGTACCAGTAAATTGTGTTCCACCAGTATAGAATGGGGAGGTCTACCTTCATACTAGAATTCGGTGCAGTCGACCACAGGTAAAACTAGCTATTAACATCAGGGTTAACAATGAAAAAATCAGGTAACATGTGACTGTGAGCACAATTTCAATTAAGATTATATCCAAGTAATTCGGATGTTATCTGGTATCAGTTATTCTTTAACAGAAATTATCTCCTGATGCCCATTCAAGACTTCGTGTTCAGGCATGGTCATCATCCATTCTGTGATCCTAGAACCATTGAAGGCAATGGACATGTACTGTAATTGAAGTTCTGTACAGTGGAGTGTACAATCCATGTTTATTTTCACTTGTTTCATACATATTGTCATTTGTTTGGTTTTAAAAATGTGCTCATGTGTTGTAAAATAATATGAAACACAAGTGCCTTGGTATACATACATTCATGATATTGGAAGTAATAAATGGTAGACATATAATCAAAATTGTTCACTGGTTTGAATTTTTTGACTTTGAAAGGAAATTAGGAAAATAGCGAAATATAAACCCCTGCGAAATGAAAAACTTTTAAATAGTTCAGGTGTTAAAATTTTGATTTTCTAAATGATCTTGCCCAAGAAACTGATCGATGCATTATGCACATTTGTAACATTGCATGTACATGTTTTACAATGTAATAAACAGCAAGTGATGTATTTGTTTTGTTTTGTTATGCTTGTGATGAAGAGGTTGGCAGCATTTTTATTGAACAATATAATGAACCAATGACCTTTTAGCTCACATGCATGATTGATCATGTGAGGTATTGTTATCCATCTTTGCACTCTACTTAAGAACCACTGAAGCAACTAACTGAACTTCATACAAATGTGTGCAAAGTTGGTCCACTCAGTCATAGCTTGACAAAAGGACCAGTCGGGAACATGATCTTAGATATTTTCTCGAACTGACGATCGCCTTTATGTTTCCCTTCGCCTTATTCATACTGCAGGGTCCAATTATATCTGAATGGTTAACTGTTTAGTGTTTCTATCTTCCCTCTCCGTCACTACCCCTTTGTGGGGATGCTATGTATTTGGCAGAATCATTTTTGCGGCTGCATTGTTAAACAGAAACAATTTTACTTGTTAAATATAGTTCTGTTTGCCAGCAGACTCCATGGCTTGAGGTATAGCTGGATTGGTAGTATCTGTTCCCATAACTGTGTAGATTTTTACTTACAGTAATGTAGATGGCGGTTCATGTATCAGTGACAAAGACTTGGTTGTGTATATGTGCAACACATCTTTACGTTTTATCAAACTGCCACGAAAAAAACAAATCTAAATACATTTGAATCTGCTTGCGACGTTTTTATTTTCTCAAGCTTACCAATGAAAGACAACCATACTTTTTTGTACACATCCAGTTCAATCTAAATACAGAGCATTGTTATCACAGATTATTGACCCTGGGGGAGGTGTGATATTTTTTGTATTACCATTTGAAAGATAAATCATACACAATGCTTTTTCACCCTATCTTCAAGGCTAAGATCCAGAGGTGTATTTAGTTTGAACATGGAGTAAATAGGAAGGATATTTTGGCCAGGATCACCGTTGGTTTCAAACCTTACTCTATATATACATGCTTGGGTGACTGGAATTCATTATGTGACACTCAATCTGCCTTAATTCCCAAGCTACATAAGTATAGCAAGTCTGGTGATTAGGTAAATCAGTAAGGAAGTTATGTTCCAGACAAACTTCATAATTAAAAATAATCAAAGGACTATGGACTTCAGTGTTAAGTAGGTCATGAGCCCCAAAGTCAGGATGCAAAATATACTCTAACTTCCCAAATACATAAATGATGAACGTAGGTGAAGTATTAAGGAAGATATCATATGCTCGAGACAAAATCTAATTTTAAAAATTACCGAAAGACCAATAAACTCTGTATATAGTTAGTCAGAAGGCCCAATTTTTGTACATGACAATTCATCTTACCAATATGTATACTGCATTTGACCTAATGATGACTGGGGTGTCTTTATTTGGCCCATTTTATCTTGAACATCTTGTGTTTGACGTTTTTGCTGTTGCAATAAACAACAAATATGGCTGATTTCTATCTGAAAGTTCCACCGGAGAAATTGCCTGAAACAATGTCCAAATTACCCCTTTTTGGCCCCACATAGCAGCTTTTGGATCCCTTTCACCTAAATTTGATGACGTTTCTTCAGGAGTCAAAAGAAGAAGACAAATATGTACTTCTGACCAAGTGAGCTTATGAACGTTCTCATTATTTACAAAATTTTACTGTATACTGCTCATACAGATAACTAACATGATCAAGATTCGGTTTGGTTAAACTAACAATATAAATACTGTAACAGAATTTACTATAACATTTATATCCAACACTAAGCACACTTGTATCTGATATTTATAATAAACAATGAGCATACAACAACACACATGTCCTTGGAATGGTTTATGGTTTCATACTCAGAGATTGCACTTCAGATCAATACCGATCTCAGGAAGAAGTTTCCCCATAGCATTGTGGACCATGGAGATGGTAGCTTCTCCATAGCATTGTGGACCGAGGAGATGGTAGCTTCTCCATAGCATTGAGGAGATAGTAGTTTCTCATGCCAAATAGCATTGTCGACTGAGGAGATGGTAGCTTCTTGATAGCATTGTGGAGATAGTAGTTTCCCAAATAGCAATGTGTAGATAATAGCTTCCCCATATTGCGGAGTTAGCTTTTTCATATCACTGTGAATAACGTAGCTTCCCCATAACATTTTGGAGGATTTGTCGAGTGTTTGGCAACTTAAGAATCTTTGCCCATGGGTTGAGATTACCACCCATGGGTTGAGATTACCAATATAACCTCGAGAAGGGGGATTGATTCTTTTCCTCTTACCCTGTTCACCAATTGTTTATCATATCATACATAATGTGATGTTAAGGTTACAGGCTAAATGCAAAGTTGATGTGACCTTGATGCATTGTTGATGTGACACCATTGTACTGTTGACGTGATGTCATACAATTGTTATTAATAGGGGAATCCCCCTGTCTCAAACCTAGGGGTAAGAGAAAGTAGCTTCCCCATGACTTTCAGATGATGGCTTCCCCATAGCATTACCTAGCTTCTTAACATTGTGAGGAATGTAGCTTACACATATCGTGGAGATAGCTTCCTGATTTGGTGTTGAGATAGTAGCTTCCCCATTTTGTTGTTGAGATAGTAGCTTCTCCATATCATTATAGAGAAAAAGACACAAGCTCGGCTATATAGAGACTAGGACAATATAACAAATTAGTCACAACCTTTCTATAATTCCATAAATAGAAGTTAAATAAAAAAAGAAATCCAACAAAATCCCTTGATCCAACAAGTTGGTCCATTAATGAATGGTATCCAATTGCTGGAAACTGTGTTCAATACCAATTCAACCCATTTCGATAACCAGTTTAGGTATTATAAATAATATACTTCACTTGAATACTAAAACATTTTGTAACAGAGTAAAAATTGCAGTTATTAGTTTTCAAATGTAAAGCACCATATCACATACAAATTCACAGATCATGCTACTGAATTAAAATAGACTTGATATTGGCAGCCAATTACATGTAATCAGTCTGACATCCATGCTGTAGAGTGCCATTTGAATCTCTATGTCTAGTGTATGGATTGCCGTCCATACGCTACTGGAGACGAGGAAGGGGCTGGTTCTGCTGATGGCATCATGTGTCCTCATCACTATCTTCACCTCCAATAGCTTGCCAAAATGATGTAGCAACCTGACAAAAATAAATGTTCAATCTTTTCTTATGGATAATTCATCTCAGAGAACAACGAATGATAACAAAGATTGTGTATGACAATTGTGTATGTAACCTGTAAACAAAGGCACCAGAGCTTTTCCATTCAATTTGTGACTTTATACAAGAAATAGAAATACAGGAATCATTATAATGTTTACCTGTTCAGCATATATCTTTCTCTCCTCAAGTGGTAATGATTCAGCCTTTTCTGAAAAGTAGCAAAAAGGACAAAATTTTAAATCAGAGAATTTGCTTTAGATATTGAATTTTAGAATAATATTTTAGTTTGTTATACGACTTACCATACCGTAGTACACTGAGAACATTATCCTTACCCTTCATTAGACGAAAATTTGCAAACAATTTTTCAAAAGATTCTCCTCCGGGATCATCTGCTCCGACAGCTTCAAAGAGAGCAGCGTCTTCAAACGGTAACATGGAATCTACAGCAGAAATGTGAGATTTATGATATGAGTTTTACTATTAGTGAGGCTCCGTGGAACTAAAATGATAACTTCTGGACAAGTTGGGGCTTTCTATCAAATTACTGAGAATGTCAGTCAACTATTTGCAAATATGTCTTCCCTGATTATTGTCATCATTTTGATAAATTCCCTGGACACTGGTCACACCGGCAATAGTTTTCTCTGCCCAGTAATATTTACCTTATATGTCAAACCCATAAATAGAACAAATAGGAATTCCAATTTTACCATTTTCAACCTCTTGAATCAAAAAGTTGTTTTCCAATGAGATTTTTTTTTTGTGCCAATAGGTGAAAATAATGATCCAATTTGATACCTCAGCTTTTATATAAAAATAGATATGGAATTTATATGTCATAACAAATTTTGGTGGCTTTTCTAAGAAGAAAATGCAAAACCAGTCTTGGTCTTTTGACTTGCGTTTACATTTTACATTTAATAATCACAGTACCGGTAATGTCAGCATGCCTCAGCTTTTGTTGAATATTGTCATTTCTCAGGAGAGAACTTTAACTCTTGGTATATATACAATATCTCCCAAAAGGTCAATCACTGAAGTATCAGACAAATCAAGAAGTACCTTAATTGTTACAGGAAGCTAGAGTTCCTAAAGGGTTCAATTACTATCATATTTGTCTTACCTATTAAATAATGATCTTACCTATAGCATCTAATGATCTTACCTATAGCATCTAATGATCTTACCTATAACAGATAATGATATTACCTATAACATATAATGATATTACCTACAACATATAATGATCTTACCTACATTATATAATGATCTTACCTACAACATATAATGGTATTATCTACATTATATAATGATCTTACCTACATCATATAATGATCTTACGTATAACATATAATGATATTACCTACAACATATAGTGATCTTACCTATAACATATAATGATCTTACCTCCAACATATAATGCTCTTACCTATAACATAATGATCTTACCTATAACATATAATGATCTTCCCTACAACATATAATGATCTTACCTACAACATATAATGATATTACCTACATTATATAATGATATTACCTACATTATATAATGATCTTACCTACATCATATAATGATCTTACGTATAACATATAATGATCTTACCTATAACATAATGATCTTACCTATAACATATAATGATATTACCTACAACATATAGTGATCTTACCTATAACATATAATGATATTACCTACAACATATAATGATCTTACCTATAATATAATGATCTTACCTATAACATATAATGATCTTACCTATAACATATAATGATCTTACCTATAACATATAATGATCTTACCTATAACATATAATGATCTTACCTATAACATATAATGATCTTACCTATAACATATAATGATCTTACCTATAACATATAATGATCTTACCTATAACATATAATGATCTTACCTATAACATATAATGATCTTACCTATAACATATAATGATCTTACCTATAACATATAATGATCTTACCTATAACATATAATGATCTTACCTATAACATATAATGATCTTACCTACAACATATAATGATCTTACCTATAACATATAATGATATTACCTACAACATATAATGATCTTACCTATAACATAATGATCTTACCTATAACATATAATGATCTTACCTATAACATTAACTGATGTCTTCTTTGATTTTCCTGTAGCAGCCGCTGGAGTATCACCAGAACACAAGTCTGTGGTACCACTTACAACACCGTTACAACCAAGTCCTTCAAGCTCTCCATTCACTGCTGTGTCACCCAGTCTATTGTTAGGCTCTTCAGCATCCCGGTCCAGCGGCTTCTCCGACTCATGTGACTTCCTTGAGGATTCTTCTTTCATTAACTCTGTCATGTAGGGGCTACGGAAACTTGGTCTCTCTGAAAAAAACAACTTTTTACTTTAAATGTTCTGAGAGATAACAGATCATATGAGAAGACTTTACATATCCTCACTTAATTATAAAGTCATAGGAGTTTCCTGTGATATTTGTCCATAACTGACTCACAACAGTAAATGAAATCACAGCACACTGATAATATAAATCCTTAATCAGATGTATCATTATATTAGTAACCCTAACACTGAAGTCTGTCCTCGGGTCAGTCTGTCGACCTGGTCAGTCTTTCACCCAGGTCAGTCTGTCATCCTGGTCAGTATGTCTCCTAACAGTGTGAATAGATAATGTTTGAGAACTAGCACTGGTTATTTATGCGGTACTCTGAACCAACCTTCTCTATCTCTACTGTCAAATGACATTTAAATCACATGTCCCACTATTCTACAAACAGGACAACACACACTGGTAACCAAGATTATGTCTAAGATACAATCTACACAAATAATTAACCCTGTGATACATTAGAACATGTAGATATCCACAATGGGTAATCAAATGTGTAACAGAACAGCAAGTTACCAGGTAACGACAGAAAAACAATAATAAACCTAGCTGGAAAGAAAGTTAAAATTGTTATTCCTTACAAAGGAGTTTCAGAAATGACGTATAATCATAGCAATGCAGCGGTTTTGAAACTCTGTTCAGACTTTCCGAAACATGAAGCATCCAAGTTCTCTCACGGAGAAAACACCACTGAGCGTGTCTATAAAATCAAATGTAAGGCCTTTGACACAGGATATGATTGTGTGTAGGAGTAGGAAATTAGACAAAAAAAAAACAAACCAATTAATATGGAAACACCAATGTGGACAAGTCCTAAATTGGTTAAAGGGGCCTACAGTTAATCACTCAATTATCATCAGTTTGAAATCTTTTGTCAATTTTGGAAATCATCCTGTACTCTTGTTCTATTTTAGATATACCGGTACTTACATTGGACTCTTATAATTCATCGGATAAAAATGACAGAGCAAATTGCACTTGTTACTGAAACATTATAACATACATATATATATCTTACTTGTTTTACATGACTTCAATCAGATATCTTCTATTTACAAACCAATGAACATGTTTTAAGATGACAATGTATTGCTATACCCAGCACCAACCTTTCATGATGAGATCAGGCCAAGTGTAGGCATGTAACGCCTGAATTATCCTCTTGGTTCCTGTTGTTTCTTGGAAGTCATCTGTAATTCAAAAACTGTAATAAGTATGACCAACATAAAAGATGTATAATCGAAAAGATATGTGTATTAGTCGGTGAGAGTAACCAAATGAATAATTATATTTAAAACTCTGTTGAATAATTGGCTAAAATGAATTGACAGTATAAACTAACAGTACATGAAATATTATGTTGTGTTATTGGGATATTGCAAGGCTACTAAAGTTCTCCTCATCAATCAAGTCAATATTTCCATTTTTCATAAATTATAAGAATGGTTCTCACTGAAACATCAACTATCAGCTAAAGTGAGGAAGGAGAGTAACAAACATATAACTTTATATATCAATATTACAAATCCTGTAGAGAAAATGGAACACAAAACGACTTGATCATTAGTCTTTGTTTGTTTGTTTGTTTGTTTTTACGTCCAATTAACAGCTATGGTCATTTAAGTACGCGCCAGGTTTTGGTGGTGGAGGAAAGCTGGAGTTACTGGAGAGAAACTACCGACCTACGAATCAGTACCTGGCACCTGCCCCACGTAGGTCTCAAATCCGCGACCTAGTGGTGGAGGGCTAGTGGTTGCAGAATATCAAATGCATTAACCACATCGCGGGCCCCTTATGATCATTAGTCAAAGGCAACTCTATATGTACCTTTTTTAGTCAAAGTTAGCTGAGAAAGAGCAAGGACGTATTTCAAAATGTAGTGTGCAAACAAGTTTTACCTTCACAGTCACTTTCTTCCAGGGGGCATAACTCCACCAGCTCAAAATTGTTATCAATGCACCATTCCTGTGCAGTGACCTTTTTAACACCTAAGGGAAACATAAATAATTACATAAATTACATTATGACAAACATGTAAATGCTGTGTAATTTATAAACATGATTGTCAAAATTCCATAATATCCATAATCCATATCCAGTAGGTACTGCAGTTATCTGTGTAAACCTGACCCCCAACCCCCCACGTGCACGTACATGGTCATTTTAGGAACCAACTTTTTGTTCGGTTTAGACAAAAATCAAGATATTAGATAGGATGCAGTTAAGACTGAGTTTTCTTTAAATCAAATCAATTAATCATTATTACTTGCTGCCAATAGAAGAATCTGATTAAAATCATCTGTTACATGCATATGGCTCCATTAACTTCGTATTACGCATGAACTGGATCTGAACAGGCGTAGTACGAAGTTAACAGAGCCATGTAACAGATTATGTTAACCAAATTGCCATTATAATAAAATTCAGAGACCTAGTAGCTCATCAGTCTTGAAAAATCTCAGAAAATTTATCTTCTGGTTTATACAATCATTATGATTACATCCATGAACAATTCTTTTCTAAACAAAACTGCTAGGAAACTGAGTTTTAAATAAAAAGTAATACTAAATATAATGATCCATTGCAATTTTGATTAAACTTGAATATCATGATATCATGATTCAGATTGTATGTATGAAATTTTGAGAGACGGTGATAACATACAGGTGTTCTCTGAGCATGACTTGCAGACAAGGATCTGTACTGCTGGTTTAATCTGCTTCAGGTAGGGAAGCCAGGACTTGGCCAGGTCGAAGGTCTTGCTCTGCAACAAAAGAACCAAAAATATATACAAAAATATGTATATACCTGACTGAGTACATATGGTAATCAGTGGTACTTTACAGTACAGACCAAATTATTTATCAATTTTATTTAGCAACGTTCATGTTTTGCCGAGAGAGTAACTGCTAACCTGGTTAAGAAATGCAAGTGTAATCCTGTAATATATAAAATTGAAACACACACACTGAATTATAAATGAAGTTAAAATACAAAATCACTTAGTGTTTTCCCCAGGTTTGAAAATAGCAGGGGGCATAATGAGATTGGTAGTGTTATATTGGCAGATATCTATATTTGGGGTGGGGGGAAGGTCGGGGAGGGAGGGAGAGGGCTGCATGATCACCACTTTGCATGTGGAAAAAACACTCATTCATGTGCATATGAATTAGAGTAAATGTCAGTATGTCTTGGTGTGAAATGATAGATATTTATAATTTATTATAATACAAAACTTAATGGGAATACTATTCAATCAGCCTTAATTACCTCTTCTGCATTGAAATATACAATGAATGCATGGACATTTTCTGCAAACGATTCATCTCCAATAGTTCTTCTTGATGTACAGCACAATTTGGTCTCTGCAGTGTAGTATTTGGTATCTACGTGCCAGTCATACCCAAATATATTCTCAATCAAGGGGTCGGCTGATGGTAAATCATCAACATTCAATATTTCTGAAATATAATAACAAAATAAAAGCATATGTATTTAGATTACCCATCACAACCAATCCCCATTATCTCTGTGTGCCAGTTAACACTACATGTAATTATAACAAGCTCATTTGGATTTGAATAAAATACCGGGGTAAGCCAATTTAAAGCCTAATCAATTTAGCATCCGGAACGTATATATGTACATTCAGTAACCAGTGTCGGGACCTTTGGAATAAAATAATGTTAACTGATCAATTAATTTCCTTTACCTACATTGTATATTTCTTGTTAGTCTCTAGAGGTATGAAGACATTTATTTCAGACTGATTTCTTGTGAACTGTTCAAGACACAGTCAGCAGTATATTTGCATTCACTACAACTAAATGTCGACAATTGCAAACATGCATGTAGCAATACACAAAAGATGAGAGTGTCAAAATTTGACCTGCATTAGAACAGGACCTCCAACAATACTATAACCGAAAATGACATCATACATCCGTCGATACTTTAATTGAACATGAGTCATGACATATCATGCCTGCCCACTTACAGAAAATACTGTATATTCTGTAAGTACAGAAGGAAATATCAGCCCTTTTCTGTTATGAAAATCAGTGGCGGATCCAGAGGGGGTTTTTGGGCTTCAGGAAACCCCCCCCCCTGAGAATTTTCTTTAAAAATTATGTATTTTCACCATTTTCCTCAATTTTTCCCCACATGGAAACCCCCCCCAGGAAATTTGGAAACCCCCCCAGATAGGTTTCTGGATCCGCCACTGAAAATGTAATCAAATTATGTAACTTGGGTCATGATGATGTGCTACTCACAGGGGCATGATAATTAGCAACAAAATGTATCTTTGGACTATCCTCATAATTGGACATGGACTAATTATCATCCAGCTCACCGGGGCATGCAACTACTATTAATATTGATCTTGTTTTAGGCTTTCAGTCGCTGGGTACGTTATATTTTAGTCGCTGGGTAAGTTATATCCTATTAGGATATAACGTAACCAGCTACTGAAAGCCTAAAACAAGATCAATATTAATAGTAGTTGCGTGCCCCTGTGCCCAGCTGGTGGCACCCACTCATAGTCGTTTCAAAACATCTGATCATAAGAGGACAAATTCGACCACGCGTGCACATTAAATATACCTTAAACTCACTTTATATTAGATCATTTAAGTTTGAGCGTCAATACATACGTCTAATAAGTTCACCAGACGGAAATTCGCTGCAACATGATGTGAAGAGTGCAAAGGAAGACATTATCAAACCGGAAGTGCGAACTACGTCACAGCTTTATGTTGTTTGATGTGTTGCTGGAGAAACAGTGCATGGCTGGCGGATTTTAGGGTCATAGGTGCTCGTGGATATTGGATATGTAGTGATATTTTATCGAATTGCATTACAAGTCAGGTTGAATGCAAAGAAATATTTAAAGAAAAGTTACATAACAATTATTTCAAGATGACAGAAATAGAAACGAGACCTGAAGAAGTTGGACAAATCCTTTTGAAGGTAAGAACACCGTTTATCGTTTAGTCGAAAGTGTCGACTGGTCCATTTATACTGTGAGAAATCGGAACTATATGACGTGCGTGACGCGTGATCAGTTAACTGACATATCCTGGAAAATTGTCTTACTAAACCCACTTGTTGTTTTATTTAGAAATCATAATTACGGAAATAGGGATACAACATTACATGTAAACAAACTTTGTGCTAATTTAACATTGTAGGGTAGGTCAGTTAAGATTACTTTTGTAGCTCTTTATTATGATATAGAAAGTTCAAAAAGGTACAGTATTGGTCAAATCTTTTATCCGTTATGGAAATATTGGACATATTTGTATAAGACAGATATATACTTATAGTTGTATGACATTGTTCGTTCTGTTATACTGTAACAGCCGAGATGGAAAAATGCACATCAAGACAGGGGTTGAAACCCTGGACCCTCCAAACTCTAGAGGTATGCTCTACCAATAGAGTTACCTAGACATTGACGATCAACCCAGTCCAGTCTATCTACATTCCTCCCTCCTTTTTTTTTCTTCTAAGGCTTCGCCCCCGAAGACACAACTACATGTATATTTACAACCCACGTTCGGGTATCCCCTTGGTTAGCTTGAAACAAGGGTTGGTCACAGGCACCACTGTAATGGGAGATGTAAAAATGCATGGCCAGACTGGGGTTCGAACCCAGAACTCTTCGAAGTCTAGACGGACACTTCTCCATGGAGCTTTAACCATGTTGTTAGCCAACAATCGACCCAGTCCAGTTCTGCTACAATAACATATTTCAAAGTGAAAAATTAGTAGGTCACTTATACACGTACACATGGTGAATTCTATCTTTTTAGAAAGCCATAAAAGACATTGAATTTTCATGCTTAACTTACATGTATAATGTATGAACTTTCTAAAATTCATTGATAAAACTACATGTATATGATATCAAATGAATATCAAATTGTACATAAATTACATATACACAGATATTAAACACCTGTCAAAAATGCTAAATATACCAGACGGAGAGATATGCATACTTCACAGATATTACATACCTGTCAAACATAACTAAATTCTACATTGTTGATACCTTGAATACATAGGAATATTCCAATGCTGGCCAGTCCCATCATCGGGTGAGTGGTCCTCCTTCGTTAGACATGTCGGTGCTTAACCGTTGTCCTTCAGAAGTGCGCCAACTGGGTTGATCAGACCCAGCCATGACTGGTTGGCTGTCGCTGCTGCTGATTGGAATTGCAGCTTACTGCCATGTTGTTGCTGCAGCCTCCTGCATCATCCATCTAGTCTCCTGATGTCTCGTGTTGTGGCAGACTAGCACTGTTGTTTATGTCCACCCCACAGCTCTTTTGTCTTCCTCCATATCCAGTTGGATGCCATCTCTGCCTGTCTGCTCACAGCACCCACCAGCTTCCACTCTGTCCCTAGCATCCCCAGCAACCTCAAAGTCCTTCATAAAGATTGGCCAGGGAAACCCCTGTATCCAACCTCTACTGGCAGGCACCATACCTTCCAACCTCGTTGTTGGCAGTCCTTTACAAGTTGCAGGTACTTTGTCCTCTTCAGCTCATGTGCCTCCTCCGTCAGTTCTACCATCACAACCTGCTTGGAGTTCTGGGACCACAACACAATGTCTGTGTGGAGTGGTGTAGCAGCCATCTCTGCTGGGAAACCCATCCTCTGATGGATGTCTGCCCTCATTTCCCAGTCTGTTGCTGTTGCGAGTATCCCGCCTCCATGGGAGCTGCCCTTCCCTTTTGTTCCTGCCTTCACGAAGTTGACAAACTTTGGGCCCGTTGTTGCTGCTCTCTTCTTCCTTCTGGCATTGTTGAGGCTCACTGCTATTTCCTTGAGAAACTGGTCATAGTGCCATGTGTACCTGCCATCTGTAAGTGCGACCGTGCATGATGATAGCACATGCGCCAAATTGGTGTGTCTGCACAGTCCACATGCTGCATTGTCCCTCAATCCCCAGGTGTGTAGGTTTGACGGACTATAGGTAGCACGTCATATGTTGCCTTCAACAGGAAGCCAAGCCTGTACCCTTCCATCCTCTAGATGTCACCCCATGATTGTACATATATATTGATGCAATATACCTGTAACATTAACAAACTAGCTTCCTCCTGCCTCTCACCTCCTTGGTCATACTTTGACATCATACTCTGTCAAACGTTATTTATGATGGCATCTTTTTACTTATGTTAGTTATGCATGACAACATAATTTTCAAGACTTTTAAAATTGCTACTTGTTTATAAATGCAAAACAGATTAATTGCAGTTAACCCATTGTTGCAAGTTGATTTCATATTAATTCAGGCATAAATATCAGTGATTTTTTGCCTAGTTTTACAGCTGAATACAGGCTGTTTCCCCTGGCTAAAAAGTGCTTTAATCTTTATTTTCCCAAAATGAAGAAAAAATCAAGAATATCTTCCCAATTTAAATAATAATAATAATGCAATAATTTAGTGATTCATGTAGGAACATTTGGAATGACAAAAAAAACCACATGATACAGTTGCATACTTATGAGATAGCTTTCACAGCAAATTTGTGTCAGAAAATGTAATTTTGCATCAACAATTTATTAATAAACCAATATAACGTGAAAAATGTCAACATCTCTGATTATGTTGATGACTTTTAAAACTTATGTCAATAATTATGCAGAAACTAGTCCCTGTTTAGAGACCTACTGTCAGATCTTACTTAGCCCATGGTTGTTTTCTAGATATAGAGTCAGATATAGGTCTATTTTTAAAATGTGCAATGAAGCCAGAGATTATAAGGTTGACTAAAATGTAAGTCAATTAATCAAAGAATTGGAAGGGCAGGGGCCATTGGCCATATGCAAATTCAAAAATTATAATGCCCCCATAATGCCCCAATAACATTTATAATGCCCCCATAATGCCCCCATAACATTTATAATGCCCCCATAATGCCCCATAACATTTTATAATGCCCCCATAACATTTTATAATGCCCCCATAACATTTATAATACCCCCATAACATTTTATAATGCCCCCATAACATTTATAATGCCCCCATAACATTTTATAAT